GACAGGGTGGGGTGCTTGTAGGCATCAGCAGAAGCAGAAGTAACAGAGCCCAAGCCCTGGCCCAGGGCATTCAGGATGCCTGCAGCATGAGGGATGAGAGAGGAGCAGAGAGGGACTTGGGTCTGGGTTGCAGAAGTCTTTGTCGAAGGTATTGCTTTGATTCTGTGAACAGCAGTGAAGACCGCTGAGCGGTGGTGTGGCATGATACGGCCTGTGTTTGATGAAGACCAGCACTCTCAGGGTGGAGGAAGTGGCCAAGGCAACGTTAGGAGAGGCAGTCATCAGAGATGGGCTCTCAGAGGGGGAGCAGGGCACCTGCTGCCCAATATGAAGGGTTGGAGCAGGGTGAGGAGGGGGGTGGCTAATGTTGATCACAGTATGCCTATCACTGAGTGGTGTGAAGTGTGTCTGCTACCAAGTGGTGTGGTGTGCCATATAACTCTTGAAGTCACGTAGTATGGGTTCTCCATTTTTTTTTTTTTCCCAGAGTTATCTTGGCTATTTTAGGCCCTCTGCATTTCCATATGAATTTTAGAATTAGTCTGTCAGTTTCTACAAAAAACATGCTGGAATTTTGATTGGGAATGCATTCAATCTGTAGATCCATTTGCAAAGAATTGATTTCCTGTACAGTATTTCTCTCCATTTATTTAAGTTTTCTTTTGTATCTCAGCAGTGTTTGATAGTTTTACTGCATTGTCCATCTTTTGTCAATTTTGTCCCTAAATATTTCATATAATTTTTGCTCAGTGGCAGATGTTGTGGCTTTTTCAATTTTTGATTGTTTATTGTCAGTATATGGAAATACATTTGATTTTTTAATATTAATGTTTTTTAAAAATTTAATAGTAACTATATTTTGTGATCTTGCTAGATGACTTATTGATCTGGTTCCAACTATAGATTCTGTAGCATTTTCTGCATAGATGATCACATCACCTGTGAATAAAAATAGTTTTACTTCTTTTTCAGTTTGGATGTCTTATTTTTTTTTCTTGCCTTATCACACAGACTAAAACCTCCAGCTGATAGTGAATAGAACTAGTGAGAGCAGGCATCCTTGCCTTGTTCCCCATCCTGTAGATAGCATTTAGTCTTTTACTGTTAAGTATAATGTTCCTATAGATTTCCCTTTGGTGCTCTTTATCAGATTGTGGAAGTTTTCTTCTGTTCCTGTTTGTTGATAATTTTTATTATAAGTGGATGTTGGATTGTGACAAATGCTTTTTCTGCATTTGTTGAGATGATTATATGGTTTTTATTTTTTGGTCTGTTATTTAACTGCAGTGGCTGGAGTTAAAAATACCCAACCAACCTTGCATTCATGGAATGACCCAATTTGGTCGTGAGGTATTATCATTTTTACATGTTGTTGGATATGATTTGATAAAATATTGTTAAGAAATTTTGCATCTATGAAGGATATTGATTTATAGTTTTCATTGTTTGTAATATCTGTGTCTGGTTTTGCTATCAGAGTAATGCTAACCTCAGAGAATCAGTTGGTAAGTGCTTTTTAGGTTCAGTTTCTCTGGAAGAATCTGTGTAGTGTTGGAATTGTTTCTTCCTTAAATGTTTGATAGAATTCCCCAGGGAAGTCATCTAGGGCTAGAGTTTTCTCTGTGTGAAGGCTTTTAACTACAACTTCACTTCTTTGTTAAATACAGGTCTATTTTTTTCTTTCTTTTCCTTTTTCTTTTTTTTGACAGTGCCACATGGTATGGGGTATCTTAGTTCCCTGACCAGGAATCAAACATGTGGATCCTGCCGTGGAAGTGTGGAATCTTAACCACTTGACCACCAGAGAAGTCCTAGATTATCTATTTTTTCCTTTCTTTAAGTTTATTTATTTTTAATCTATTTTTTCTTGAGTGAGCTTTGATAGTTTGTGTTTCAAGGAATTTGTCTTTTTCTTTTGTTTTTTGATTGTAAAAATTTTTTATTGAGGTATAGTTGACTTGTCTGTTTCATTTAAATTGTCCAATTTACCTTTGACAAGTTAGATATATTATCTAAAGATATAAATAAAGATCTAAAGATATAAATAAATATAAATATATCTAAAGATATATTATCTAAAGATTATTATCCTTTTAATGTCTGTAGAATCTGTTTGTTCTCATTCTTAAGATTGGTAATTTGTGTTGTCCGTCTTTTTCCTGATCAGTCAGGCAGGATGGTTATCAAATTTATTGATCTTCTTAAATAACTAGCCTTTGGCACTTTGATTTTTTTCATTTATTTTTATTAGTTGGAGGCTAATTACTTTACAATATTGTAGTGATTTTTTAAATAATTTCTTTGTGTACTAATTGTACTCATTTCACACGCTAGCAAAGTAATGCTCAAAATTCTCCAAGCTGGGCTTCAGCGGTACGTGAACCAAAAACTTCCACATGTTCAAGCTGGATTTAGATTCAGTATTTTAATTCTTTTGCTTCTTTTGAGTGTGTAATTTCTTAAGGTAGGATTTAATGTTGTTGACCTTAAAACTAAAAGAGCTAATTATTTTATCAGCAAAATGTGTTTATCTGGGAATAGCAGAGAATTGCAACTCAGGACAGCCATACTATAGCAAAATCTATATAAAACTAATTCCAGCTGAGCTATTTCAAATCCTAAAAGATGATGCTATGAAAGTGCTGCAGTCAATATGGCAACAAATTTGGAAAACTCAACAGTGGCCACAGGACTAGAAGGGTACACAGGACTGGAAAGATCAGTTTTCTTTCCAATCCCAGAGAAAGGCAGTGTGAAAGAATGTTCAAACTACTGCACAACTGTAGTCATTTCACATGCTAGCAAAGTAATGCTCAAAATTCTCCAAGCTGAGCTTCAGTTTTTGGTACGTGAACCAAAAACTTCCACGTGTTCAAGCTGGATTTAGAAAAGGCAGAGGAACTGGAGATCAGATTGCCAACATCCATTGGAAGAAAAAGCAAGAGAATTCCAGAAAAATATCTACTTCTACTTCATTGACTACACCAAAGCCTTTGACTGTATGGATCACAATAAACTGTGGAACATTCTTAAAGAGATGGGACTATCAGACCACCTTACCGGCCTCCTGAGAAAGCTGTATTCAGGTCAAAAAACAACAGTTAGGACTGGACATGGAACAATGGACTGGTTCCAAATTAGAAAAGGAGTACATCAAGGCTTTATTTTGTCACTCTGCTTATTTAACTTCTATGCAGAGTACATCATGCAAGATGCTGGGCTGGATGAAACAGAAGCTGGAATCAAGATTGCTGGGAGAAATATCAATAACCTCAGATATACAGATGACACCACCCTTATGGCAGAAAGCAAAGAGGAACTAAAGAGCTTCTTGATGAAAGTGAAAGAGGAGAGTGAAAAAGTTGGTTTAAAGCTCAACATTCAAAAAACTAAGATCATGGCATCCTGTCCCATCACTTCATGGCAAATAGATGGGGAAACAATAGAAACTGACAGGTTATTTTCTTGGGCTCCAAGATTACTGCAGATGGTGACTGCAGCCATGAAATTAAAAGACGCTTGCTCCTTGGAAGAAAAGTTATGACCAACCTAGACAGCATATTAAAAAGCAGAGACATTACTTTGTCCACAAAGGTCCGTCTAGTCAAGGCTATGGTTTTTCCAGTAGTCATGTATGGATGTGAGAGTTGGACCATAAAGCAAATTGAGTGCTGAAGGACTGATGCTTTTGAACTGTGGTGTTGGAGAAAATTCTTAAGAGTCCCTTGGACTGCAAGGAGATCAAACCAGTCCATCGTAAAGAAAATCAATCCTGAATATTCATTGGAAGGACTGATGCTAAAGCTGAAACTCCAATACTTTGGCCACCTGATGTGAAGAGCTGACTCATTAGAAAAGACCCTGATTCTTGGAAAGATTGAAGGCAGGAGGAGAGGGGGATGACAGAGGATGAGATGTTTGGATGGCATCACTGACTCGATGGTCATGAGTTTGAGCAAGCTCTGGGAGATGGTGAAGGACAGGGAAGCCTGTCCATGGTATGCTGCAGTCCATGGGGATGCAAAGAGTCGGACACAGCTGAATGACCGAACAACAAAAATAATAGGCAAGTCCAGCAAACAAAGGAGAGGAAGTTACTTTGCAGAGAAAAGGAGGGGTTGCTCTGAAGGAAAGTCTATGGGAGGGAAAGGGTGTTTAGGATGGTGGTGGCTTCCCACTCTCTGAGCTGAGGTTTCCATCTGCTAGGTTTGTGGCCTGTCCCAAAGCAGAGATGTCTTCCTGCTGGGAATGCAAGTCATGGCTCCTTTTGTTGGCTTTGTGATTCACTTGGAGGGGTATGTGAGTGATCACCCTCTCTGGGTTCCCCTCCTAAATGAGGTTGCTGTTGTTCAGATCCACAATGTCATTCTTTTCTAATACAACCACTTAGTGCTATTTATTTCCCACACATTTTTTTATTGTTTAAATTTCTCCCACACATTTTGATATGTGTTCATTTTCATTCACTTTAAAATGCTTTCTAATTTCATTTTTTGCATTTATTTTTTTGACTCATGAATTATTTTAAAGCATATTAACTAGTTGATAAATACTCAGATTTCTCAGATAGCTTTCTTTTATTGATTTCAAATCTAATCCCATGTGGTCAGAGAACAGGGGCTTTCCAGTGGTAAAGAACCCGCTGGGCAATACAGGAGACTTAGGAAACGCAGGTTTGATCCCTGGGTGGGAAGATCCTCTGGAGGAAGATCTTCCTGGCAACCCTGGCAACCCACTCTGGTATTTTTGCCTGGAAAATCTCATGGACAGAGGAGCCTGGCAGGCTACTGTCCTTAGAATCACAAATAGCTGGACAGGACTGAATGACCTAGCAGCACAGAAAACATAGTTTGTAAGACTTGAATACTGTTAGATTTATTGAGACTTGTTTTATTGCTCAGAATATAGTCAGTCTTGGTAAATGTTTCATGAGCTTTTTGAAGAAATATATATTCTTCTGTTAATGAATGGAATGTTATAAAAATACTGCTTGGATCCCAGCTGAGAAGCGAAAAGCCGCAGGCGGCCGCCGACTTCACAGCCGCTCGGGGTTTTTAGAGCTTCAGCTATAAAAATGGGCAGGATTTTCCTTGATCATATCAGTGGTACCCGTCTGTTTTCCTGTGCAAACTGCGATACGATCCTGACCAATCGTTCGGAACTCATCTCTACTCGATTCACAGGCGCCACTGGCAGAGCATTTCTTTTTAACAAGGTAGTTAACCTACAGTATAGTGAAGTTCAAGATCAGGTCATGCTCACTGGCCGCCACATGGTTCGAGACGTGAGCTGCAAAAACTGCAATAGCAAACTGGGATGGATCTATGAGTTTGCCACTGAAGACAGCCAGAGTTATAAGGAAGGTCGTGTGATCCTGGAACGCGCTCTAGTTCGAGAAAGTGAGGGCTTTGAGGAGCATGTACCATCTGATAACTCTTGAAGAAAAAGAAATCCATCTTTTCCTAGGTCTCCTTCACTGAAAACAAAAATCTACTTACATACACTGTCACCTTAGCATCAGAGTCGGATTCATGAACTGTGGAACAAGAGGTTGTGAGAATCTTTGATGGAACCTTCCTTTCTTTCCTTTTTTTTTTAAAATTTTCTATTTTCCATCCAACAGCAGTGTGTAGAGAGAATATTATGCAGATGCCTTTTTTTTTCCCCCTGTGTTTACATCTTGAGGCAGAATAGTCTATCTGCAGCTACATGGTGGGCTATGTGAGGAAAAAAATCTGGGCTATTAAGAGTGAAAAAGTATTTTATGTAAATTTTGCAAGGAAAATGTGTCAAGAGCATGGTTTTTAAGTTTATTTGGGCTTCATTTTAAGACTTTTTTCTAAAGCTCAGTTATTTCATTTGATTTGCCAGCTTCAGAGGAGAGATCCGAGTCTGTGACCAGCGCTGAAGGCTCAGTGCTAGTGTTGCTCGTGCTGGCCATTGTGCCATGTTCTTGTTGGGGATGAACCGTAGCATCAGAGCCCATTCTTCCTTGTCAGTCCTGACCCAAAGATGTCACCATTCCTAGTTATTTGTCACCACATGATTGGTGTTGATTGGAAACTTTTCCTGATGTGGGGCAGAACTGCTTGGTTGTCTTTTCCATGTAACTTAAGCATAGTAATATAAATAAAGTAATAGTTGGAAAAAAAAATTCTGCTTGAACCAAGTTGATTGATGGTATTGTTCAAGTCTTCTGTACCTGCAGTGATTTTCTGTACACTTATTATCACAATTACAAATAGAGGGCTGTTGGAATTTCTGTTGTATTTTGCATTTGTTTATTTCTCCTTGAATTTTTTTAGTTTTGACTTTGTGTATTTTAAAGCTCTGTTATTATGTGCGTAATAAATGTTTAGAATTGTTATGCCTCTGCTAAGAAAATAGAGTCCTTGAAGTCAAGCTGACTCTGCTTTTAGTCTCCTAAATGAAAAGGTAGATAGAACAGGTCTTGTTTGCAAAATGAATTCAAGACCTACTTATCTACCAACAGCAATGATACAGTTTCCATTGTCTCACTGTAGAAAATAGGAGTAGTGAATACAGAAATGAGTAGGGGTGAAGAAAGACTTAGGGAACCCATGAGGATCTTACTCTAGTTGACAGAAAAGTGATTACCACCTGGAGAAGTTAATTAGGAAAGTGGAGGAGAGGACCTTTCCTGTAGTGGAGGTTTCGGAGGGTCCAGGACAGCTTCTGGTGGCCAAGCCTTCTTGTAGGGAGACCAGCATAGTCTCATTTGCAGAATGCTGCGTCATGGTGAATCATTCTGGGCAGCTGCCAGTGTGGGAGCCTGCCGGAATCCGGCACACGAGATCCCACCCATGACAAGGTCATGATGAGAAAGCCTGACAGGCAAGGCAGATCAAGTTTTCAGGGATTCCGAAAAGCTGCCCCCAGCGCTCACCTTAAAGATAATATCTGTCTTTCTGACGCCTGCCTTAATAGACTACTCCCTAATTTCTGTGACACAGGCAGAAGGCCTTCCCCGATCTCTTCCCAAATAAGAATCAATTTAGAACTTTAATCAACAAGTTTCCCAGGTGGTGGTATTTTATGAGATTATCCAAGGTGAAAGGAGTGTTTTAATTTAAACTCCTTTGCTGGTAATTTGTTAGCCAAATGCATTTATGCCCTTGGTACTAATATGCTTGATTGCTTATAATATCCTAATCATAAAATAGCTTAAAGAACCTGATTATATAAAAGCCCTAATAGACATAGAGCCTTTTTAAGGGGTAAAGGAGTCCTATTAGAAAACAAGAAAAATTATTCTATAGGTGGTTATTGAGTTGACGTTTGCTTGCTGTGTTTTGCTTGCTGTGTTTTTGCTTTTAATGTGCTGAGGTTGTGTTATAGAAACCATTGTTAATATAGTTAAAGATCTAGAGAAATAAGAACTTAGCCCTAGTGTGGTAACAATGAAATGGTTGTTAATTGTCAGCCAGGAGTGCTAGGCAGAAGCTGCCTCACCAAAGTCACAGAGTCAGTGTGGGATAAACTTCTTAGATAAACGCAACTGACAACTTCTGCAGAAGGATTAATTTTTGTGTTAACAAGGTTATACTTCTGCTTGTACTGTTGCCCTATGAGACTGCTACCTTTCAGTTAAGGTCACCATAGAAACAGAAAATAGGTTTACATTCACCTGACTTGCATAAAATGTTAATAGGCCCCAAGGCCAGAAGATAATGTATAAGACCCTCATAAACAAAGAAGTATGCAGAAAACACCCTGGTTTCGTGAAGAACAAGCTGATGTAATGTTAAACTATCTTCCCCTTAGAAATGTACTAACTTAGGGTATAAAAGCTACGGTAAAAAATAAAGCATGGCCAGACTCTGCCAGACTCTGCTGCACCCCCCGTCTGGTCACTCTCTCTCTCTCTCTCTCTCTCCCTCGCAGACTTGGCCCTATCAAGGCTGGTCTCACGTGTCTTCTCTCTCTCGCCGACGCCGTTCATCCTGAGGGTACCCCCTGGATCATGCCGAGGCTGGACCCTGGCAGGAGCCATTTAAAACTCTTAAAATGAGTTAAGATTTTAAATCATTCTGGAGAATGAGAAAAGCAGATTGATTACCAAGCACAAGCTTCAGAAATATTTTATTGGATGTGTACAAGTGCTTGCAAAATGTTGATTGAACCAGTAGGAAGTCAGTTATTAAACATACACTTTTCCAAATAAAAAGTGATTTAATTAAAAAAAATTGTTATGTCTCTGAAGTCTACTTTATCTAATATTAATATAGTCAACTCCAGCTTTTAAAAAATTATTTATTTATAAATTTTTGGCTGCACCGAGTCTTCACTGTTGTGCATGGGCTTTCTCGAGTTGCTGCGAGCAGGGGCTACTCTCTAGCTGTGGTGTGCAGGCTTCTCATTGCAGTGGCTTCTCTTTTTGCAGAGCTCGGACTCTAGAATATGTGGGCTTCAGTAGCTGCAGCACACAGGTTCAGGAGTTGTGTTGCACAGGCTTAACTGCCCTGAGGCATGTGGGGTCTTCCCAGACCAGGGACCGATCCTGTGTTCCTTGCATTGGCAGGTGGATTCTTAACCAGTGGACTACCAGGGAAGCCCCTCCAGCTTTTTTGTGATTATTGTCAGCCTCATTTTTCTTCTCCCATTCTTTTACTTTAGCCTCTTTATGTTGACATACTTAGTGTTTCCTGTGGTTTCTAGAATATATAAAATACAGTTGTAATCTAAATGTCTTATCTAGTAATTCTTTCCTCTGCACCATTTCCAGGTCAGCGTCTGTTGACTGACTCACCCTCATTATGGGTTGTGTGTTGTTTCTTTTAATTTATTTTTTTATTGAAGGATAATTGCTTTACAGAATTTTGTTATTTTCTGTCAAACCTCAACCTAAATGAGCCATAGGTATACATATATCCCCTCCCTTTTGAACCTCCCTCCCATCTCCGTCCCCATCGCACCCCTCTAGGGGCTACAGAGCCCCTGTTTGAGTTTCTTAGCCATACAGCAAATTTGGGTTGTGTAGTGCTTCCCTGGTGGCTCAGAGGTTAAAGCGTCTGCCTGCGGGAGACCCGGGTTCGATCCCTGAGTCAGGAAGATCCCCTGGAGAAGGAAATGGCAACCCACTCCAGTATTCTTGCCTGGAGAATCCCATGGAAGCAGGAGCCTGGTAGGCTACAGTCCACTGGCCGGAAAAGAGTCAGAGACGACTTCACTTTCACTTTCACTTTTCTTTCCTCTTTTCGTGCCTGGTCATTTTTGATTGGATGCCAGACACTGTTATTTTTCTTTCTTTTATTTGTTTGTTGGTGTGTGGTGTTTTGTATTCCTCTTGTTATTCTCAAGCTTTGTGCTGGGCTGGTCTAAGTTACTTGGGAACGGTCTGATCCTTTCAGGTCTTGCTTTTAGCTTTGGTAGGTGAAACCAGAATGGCATTTTACCTTTTTCTTCTTTTTCCTTTTTTGGCTGCACGGCTTGGCTTGCAGGATCTCAGTTCCCCAACCAGATATTGAACCTGGGCCATGGCAGTGAGAACCTGGGATCCTCACCACTGGGCCCCTAGGGCACGCCCTCGTTTTACTTCTTTCCTGAGTTGGAACTCTCCTGAGTGCCCTTCCCAGTGCTCTGAGAGTTGTGATATTCCCCTGCTGCCAGGAGAGGCCCTCGCCTGGCTCATTGCGAGCCGCAGGGATTGTTTCTGCGAGTCATTTTGGGTGGCTCCTCCCGCGCCTTGGGTCGACTCTGGCCTCCCGCGCCATCTGTGCAGCAGGTCAGGTGGGTTGTTCCCGTGCTTTGTTTGTTTCCTCCCTTCTTCTCCTGTCTCTGATGCAGTTGAGAAAAGTTCTTCGCTCTTAAGAACTAAGGTGGGTCTCGCTGACATAATCCAGGGTAGTTCCTCACCTCAAGGTCTGTGCCCTTGACCCCATCTGCTAAGTCCCTTTTGCCAGCTAAGTAACATACTCCTATGCTAAGCATGGGGACATGGGCATCCTTGGGGACATTATTTTTCTGCCCATGTGCTGGCCAGTAAATCAGCTGAGTGACTGGGGACCCTCTGCAGGCCTCTGAGGTTCTACCTGGTACTGGACCCTGTGGACTCCAGCAAGACCCAGGCATCCCAAGTTGTTCCCAGGTCTGCTCTGCATGTCCTCAGCTGGACGTGCCCTTCAGGTGATGAGCTGACATGATCACAGGCTTTCCCACCCTTTATTCCTGATGCCCATCAGCCTGAGAACTCTGGTTCCATGTGTTTCATTCATTTTTTTAGTTGTTTGGGTTGAGGTGGCAAATAGGTCCATTCCTCCCAGGCAGGCTGGGAGCTGATGTCCCTTATGTATGTGTGTGCTTCTGCTTGAGCTGTCTGCATTTGTATGAAGGATGCTCCAAACTGTGGAGCTGGAGCTGTTCAACCCATCTTCTCTGAGGCCATGGAGATGGGCAGCTGTAGCTTTTCACAGGTGAAGCCCCTGCGCCAGGAGCGGGCTGCGTGCTCATTACCCAGACTGGCCCAGGGACCTCAGGAAGTGGGTTCCATGTGCAGGGGTGCCTGCCTCTGAGAAGAATCCTTATGGCTCTTTGTGGAGCCTGCGGCCAGTACCTTCATACCTGCCTGACAGCTGCGGCATTTTCAGCCCTTCACCTTTGCAGGATGGGGGGTTTTGCCACCTCCTTGCTCTACTGTTAATGGAATACGTGTTTTTATTTCTTGTTTTCCTTGTTATTTATAGATACATTCCAGGAAAAGAGGGGAAACACCTTGCTGATGCCACCAGCCTCAAACCAGTCTTCTCCATCTGCCTTCTGTCTGCCTGAGATTCCTGGAAGTGTCTGGTGTGCTAATTTTATCTGTTCTTGTGTTCTAGCGCCCTTGTGGGCTTGTTCTTTTAAAACATGCATCTTTTCTTTCATTGCACTGAGGTTTTGGTGGGATGGGTGAATGCCTAGGACCAGGGTGCCTTCTCGATCTAGAGTTCTCACCTGCTGTAGTCCCCCCACTCGTCAGACACCTCTCACTGCCCCTTCCCAGTGGCCACAGCCAATGAGCTCAGGAGCAGGAGGTGGCCTGTCCCCTTTGCTTCCTCTACCCGCACCCTTTTCTGGATGGGCGGTGCCCAGGAATGAAGGTGGTGCCCAGAAAATAGAGGACCCCAGTGTGAGAAAGCAGTCCCGTATCAGTTGTCGGAGCCTGTGACCGTGTGGGAAAGTGCAGAGGCACTTGCGTATTCCATGGGCTTTATTCTTTGGTTCTGTCTGTTGCAAGTGGTGCTTTGAGGCACATGATGTTTGAAAGCTGCAACTCTCAAATCCAGTGAGCTGTCTGGATGGTTGGTTTCAGACGCCAGAGAGCCCACCAGATCCCTGAGCTGCCTGTCCAGTCTTGTTCAGCCAACAGGAAGTGGGGGGTCCTGGCCACACAGTGATGAAGGCTGTTGTTCTTGGCCCTCAGGGAGGGGTGTCCCTTTCTTCACAGTCTGTCAGTTGGCACGAGGCCTTATGTGCACAGAGTGAAGGAAGATGCTGTCAGTGGAGGTGGTGGTCACGCTTGGCCTGGCCCCCTCTGTAGGCCAGCCAGGACAAGCCCCTGTGGGCCGAGCACTTGGCGGCGGGGCTGCCGGCTGCTGGGTGGAGTGGGTACCACCTGTCCTCTGCACACCACTCAGCCAGAGTGTGGCAGAGACTGTCTCCCCAACAAACCCTTTCTGACCTTGTGTTTTACACAAACACACTAACTGCTCGTAAACTGAGGAGGCCAGTGACTTAAATGTTGCACGTCTGGTGACTCCAGGTCTGAAGAGAGGCGTCCATGTTCACACCAGGAGGCGAGAAGAAGCTGGAGCCACAGTGATGAGCGAGACCTACGTGAAGAGTGAGTGTGGGCCCCTTGGCTGGCCTCCACGGCATGCTGCGAATTTCTGAGTAAATGCACTTGGGAGGAGTGACCGCTGCTTGAACACACTTTCTTTAAGGCTTCATTAGAAAAGAAAAGGAAGCTCTCGTCTCTGCCGACGCTGGCTCAGTCTGGTGTGGGGACAGCGTTTGCCTGGCACAGTGGCTTTGTGCTCCGTGGAGGAGAGTCCCTGTGCCTTCCTCCTTGCCTACAAAAGCCCCAGGGCCAGCGTTCACTCTGACTGTCCACTGTACCTGCAGCCAGGGCCAGCTTTTTGCCAGAGCATGGTCCAGGGCGGAGTGTGGGCCAGAGGTCCTCCTGGAGCCGCTTCGTGGGGCTGAGCCCACACTGCCTGCTTTTTATAGGAGCTCGGATCCAGCCAGGCTGGAGATGCGGAGAAAACACGGCCTGGGTTGGAAGGCCGGGGTAGAGGTGGCCAGAGCGACCTCAGAGCAGGTGGCCAGTGGGTCCCAGAGACCCCGGCCGGCATGGTGGACAGAAGGGGCGGTGTGTGTGCCTGAGGCTGCAGAGGCCGGGCCAGTGAGGCTGAGTCCTCAGAGGCTGAGCCAGGAGGTGGGCCGGGGCCAGGCCTGACCCTGCCGTCGGACTTTGTCACTGTAGGGCTGTCCACCATCCTGCTGGACGCCATCACTGACAAGGACCCTCGGGTGCAGGAGCAGGTATGTGGTGCCCTGTGCACCCTCGGAGGGTCACAGCCAGCGGAGGTGCTCAGCGCCTGTGAGGAGCACCTGCGGCTGCACGAAAAGGTATTTATTGCTCCTCCAGGATGGGGTGAGGCCTGTGGGGAGGGGCCTGCGGGGCAGGGTTCATGGCGAGGGGCGGGGCCTGTGGTGGGAATGGGGCCTTCGGTGAGGGGTGGGGCCTGCAGGGCAGTGGCCCCAGTGGGTCTGAAGTATGCAGCCAGGTTGCTGTGGGTGGAAAGTCGCACCGGCAAGTCCAGGCCCCCTTGAGGCAGCAAGTCCAGCATAGGTGACCCACTCTGTCCTGTGGGTTGGTCCTGTTGTGGGGTACCAAGTGGTCGGCATTGTAGTGTCTGGTTGCCCTTGCACAGGCCCAGTCCACCGTTCCTCTCACCTACCCAGGTAGTGAGAAAGGGGCCGCTGCGTCGCACCTGGGACAGGGCCTCGCCCAGCGGGCCTGGGCCTCTGCTCCCTGCCCAACCGTAGACGCCACTGGTCGGGCCCTGCTGAGACTGCACCAAGAGCTGTGCCAGCTCTGCCTCTCCTGGTTCAACTGCAGGGTTCTGTGACACTCCTGTCTTCCTGTAGTGGGACAGAATTTCAGTTTCCACAGTGCATGGTTTAGACTCATTCCTAGGAGTTAGACTTGCAGTCTCAAAAGACCGTCTTTCTTTTTGTTTGAGTTTTGGGCTCTCATCTGTCAGCTGCCATTTCAGGGTTGGACAGTTGAGTCCTGACAGGGCCCCTGGGCTCCTGAGCCAGTTTGATGACCCCTCCTCTCCGCAGGGCCCCATCCCGCCCCTGCCCCCACCCCCACCACTGTCCCAGTGTAGGGAGCTCATTCCTGAGCTCAGGGAGGAGCCATGAGAGACAAGGGAGTCCTGGTCCTTCCTCCACCATCCCTCTCTACAGCTAGCACATCCATACCGGACGATGGTCCTACGGGCTATGGAGACAGTCGTGAGCAATCACATCGGCGAGTTGGACAAGGACATGGCCAGGGCCATCATCCTCCTGGCCTCCAATGAGATGACCAAAGTGAAGGTGTGGGGGATACCTGCCCTGACCTGGCTGACCCGCCCCTGGCTGGGGCAGGGAGCTGTTTTCTTCCTGAGTGCATTGAGAACATGGGTTTGTGTCTGGCTGCCTTGCGTTTGGCCTGTTGGTCCTGTGTACTGACTGCCCTTGTGGGGTGGGGTGAGTCACCCCGCCATCTCAGATAGAAACCTAAGTGGAAAGCAGTGCTCCCAAGCTCTCAGGGTGAATGTAGGAGCACCAGGGCCTGACTTGAGTGTGCATGGGCTCGAGGCTCAGCCTGGGGCCCTGCTCACAGCAGCCGCAGAGCGTGCTGAACACTGGCGGCCTGACACTCTGAAGGCAGAGTGTCCAGTTTTCCTCCTGGGCACCTTCAGTGTGGGTGAGGTCTGCCTCCTTTGGTCAGGGTGTCAGTTGAGGTCTTTGGGGACAGGAGCTGGTCTCTGATTGGCAGCAGGCCGCCAGCAGCGTCCTGGTGGCGGTGGGGAGGCGGTTCATCAGCAGCGTGATGGAGGAGCTGCTGAGCAAGTTCCAGCCTGGGCTCCTGCCGCATCCCTGCACCGTGCACACGCTCGCCAGCCTCTCCATCTCCAATGGTAGGTGGCAGCCCCACCCCTCTGCTTGCACACTCAGAGGTTCTGAGGTTGGCATCTCGGTTCCTTGGGTCCCAGTTGCTCCACCACACGCCTCAGGCTGTGCAGAGAGAGCTCAAGTTGTGTGGCGGGGTCGGTGTGGCCGTGGGCCTCTGTGATGCGCCCCTTCTTGCAGTGTTTGGCATGGTGCCCTTCCTGACGTCCATCCTCAGCACCATGCTGCCCATGCTGGGTGCAGCCAAACATGACTCAATGAAAGTGGTGTTCTGCTGTGGTAAGACAGGGCCTCTGTGGGGTGGTGGGTGGGTGTGGTCTGCCCACTGTTGGGGGGGGGGTCTTTGTTTCCAGTGCTCCTTTGTAGGGGGCCGGGGAGCCTTCAGGCTGCAGGAGGAGGGTGGGACAATTAGAGGAAGGGTGATGCAGATGGGGGCTGAGTGGGCACTGATGCAGGTAGAGACCGGACCTCTGCTGTCTGGCAGCTTGTCTTTGTTGTTGGGCGCCACCCCGCCCCCCCACCAGGACCTTACACTGTACTCCCCTGAGCCCTGGACACTTAATGGGGGGCAGGAGGAGACTCACCAGAGCTACAGCTTCTTCCCACTTCTCTCCCTGCTCGTTCTGGCAGAGTGATATTTCCCTGGGTATCCTGGGAGTGTTCACTCTCCTACCCTCTGTGTGCCATGGGCAGTGCCTCATGGCGTGACTCCTGATGGGCAGAAGGGCACTCCTATAGGGAGCAGATGGTCTTGAAACATGGGGCCTGAGGAAGCCTGGCCTCTTCTAGTGGCCTGCACACAGCTCTTGTCCCTCGGCTTCCTGGTGTCCCTAGCGTCCCCTCCAGTCTCAGGAAGACAGCTGCTACCGAGGGGAGGAAGTGGGAATACCTAGGCCCATGAGGCCCCATGAAGACAGGATCCCCTTTTTAAAATAGTTTATTTTTGGTTGTGGGCTTCCCAGGTGGCACTAGTGGTAAAGAACCCACCTGTCACTGTGGGCTTGATCTCTGGGTTGAGAAAATCCCCTGGAGGAGGGCACGGCAACCTACTCCAGCACTCTTGCCTGGAGAATCCCATGCCAGAGGAGCCTGGTGGGCTACAGTCCATAGGGTCACAAAAAGTCAGACATGACTGAGCAACTTAGCATGCATGCACACATTTTTGCTTTTGCTGGGTCTTTGTTGCTGGCGAGGGCCTTTTCTAGTTGTGCAGAGTAGGGGCTACTCTTTATTATGGCGGCTTCTCTTGTCGAACATGGGCTCTGTGCACCCCAGCTGCAGTAGTTGTGGCACACAGGCTTAGTTCCCCCAAGGCATGTAGGGTCTTCCTGGACCAGGGATCAAACCCAAGTCCCCTGCATTGGAACATGTATTCTTAACCACTGGAGCACCAGGGAAGCCCTAAGGACCCTTTTTAATCGCCAGGCTGTTAGAGGTCCTGGGCTTCCACCTCCATGGCCAGGCTAGAGGGACGTGGTTAGGCTATGGCCACACCGAGGCAGGGGTTGGGAGGCTGGTAGCCAAGCAGAGTTGGTGTCTGCAGAAGGGTCCCAGTGAAGCTGCCTGTTCTGTGCACACCAGGGGACTTTCCTATCTGGGGCCTAGAGCTTTAGGCTGCAGCCCACCTGTTCATGGTGGTTTTGGGTTCAGGTTCCCCAGCTCTCAGGGACTCTAGGAAGAGCTCTAGTCCCTCAGAGCCCCTACATTCCTGTTCTCTCTGTTCCACGCCTTCCTCTTGAGGGCCCCTCTCACATGGGCTGAAACCCTCTTTGACCTGGTTTCTGCTGAAAAGGGAACTTGTGACAGGATCCCTGAGCAGCTGGGTGGGAATCGTTGCTGAGCTCAGAGTGCAGGGGCAGGACGCAGAGAGGACCGAGGCAGAGCTTGGGGCTGCGGGGGGGGCAAACAGCGCCAAGGACAGTACACATCCCAGCTGGAGGGACACAGAAGGGACTGGGGAGAGCTGTGGGGGCTGGGGGAAAAGAGCTCCAAGGACAGCACTCATCCCGGCCGGGAGGGAGAAGGAGAGCCTGTGTTGGAGCTGAGGGCTGGTCCCTGGCCCGGCAGCTGCCCTGGGAAGTGCCGGCATCACACCAGGACTTGCAGAGCCCTGTGCAGGAGGCCCTGCCCCTCACAGGCTGCAGGCCTACAGTGTTCACCTGGCTGCCATTCCATGTGAAGGGCCAGGTGGGCCAGCAGACACTGCCTGTAGCCGCCCTCTGACTGAAGTGTGTGCGCCTTGCCACAGACAGTGCTCCAGGTCTGCAGTTGAGGGAAGCATGGTCCTGCCCACTGGAGCAGCCTCAGTCAGGCCAGGAGCGTCCATGTCAGCCCATCGCAGCCTGAGTGGGCCACAAGAGTACTGGGACCTCTTGTCCTTCCAGGCAGTCTCCGATTCTAGTCAGATTGTGTTCACTGTGCAGGAAGGTGGCCCAAGTGGGCCATGGGGCCCAGAACAGGAGTGTGTGTGCACTCAGAGGTTCTTGTCCAGCTTGCAGGACGCTGCGGCCTGGCAGGGGGAGGGCGGGAAGGAGGACCCCAGAGGTGGGTGGACAGGGCCCAGACAACAGGTGCTCAGCTGGCCTGGACACACTGCCAGCACTGGCAGGAAACCACAGCTCACCACCCACCGGGAAAGTCTGATGAGAGAGGCAGCAGCAAAGTAAACAGAAAGGGAGACTAGGGGAAGCAGACAGTTGAGGGAGGGGAAAACAGACAGGAAAGGAAATCTGGTTGATATTTCGTTGAGATGAGAAAAGATGCATTCATGAAACAGAAGCACCTTGCTATGAAGAAGCTACGTTTGGACAATGCAATAAAGCTGTTGGGAATTAGCGACGTGATGAAAATGGAAGGTAGAAATGGAAGTGTTGAGGAAATCCTCTAGAAAATGGAGCCAAGATGCAAGTATGTGAAAAACAGAAGAGAAAGAAAAGATTTAGCAAGGGAAGCCATGAAACCAGTCTTCGATAATCACCTTCCAAGGAACGGAGAAGGAATGGAGAAAGTGGAGGGGGCGGGGCGGGGGTGGGTCATTGTGGGAGCTGTCCCAGGTGGAGAGGCCCTCCCCACTCCTGCGTCAGGAAGCTTCTGCGGGGCAGGTGGTTCAGGAGAAGGCCGAGGGCTTGCCTTCTGCTTGAGGGAGAGTGCTAGAAAGCTCCAGCGGAAGGCACCCCTGAGAATCAGCACCCCGCCCCAAGGCTTGCTGAGCAGGAAGATGTAGAGATGTCCCTTGAGAAGCCAGGATCCGGAAGGGTGTGGCCCATGTGGTGAGGCTGGGGGAGCCTCAGGATGTGTGTCAAGAGGTGTGGAGGTTGCCGCAGTGACTTTGGCCTGAGAACAAGGGGACTCAAACACCAGACAGTCCTTAACTCAGGACACAGCTGCTCATGGAGGGAGTGGTGGGCTCAGAGCCACGTGGGTTTGGAGGGGTGGATGGATCGGGCTGGTCCCGGCCTGGGGTACGTGGGGAACACTGCACACAAGTGTGTGGAGAAAGAGGCCCAAACCCCGTGTTTGCTTCTGGAATAAGGAAAATCAGGCTGGGGGAGGGGCCTGAGTGACTCATTTACATGAGGCACATGTGTCCTTGATTAAAAGCACAAACCTGGTAAGAAACTCAGGACCGGAGGCGAGGGGGGTTCCACTTCAAGCCACGTAATATCCTGTTATCCTGAAAGCCTTTCCCACACAGGGTACCTCGAAGCCCTGGTCAGCTTGACCAGCAGCCTGATTGAGCAACTCAAGGAGCAAGAATAGGTGGACGCAGGGGTTGGGATGGCAGACAGGGACCAGGGCCCAGCTAAGCAGACCCCCTCCCCACTGAAGGCATCCTCAGTGGGAGGACAGCCAGATACAGACCTCCTGCATGTTCTCTCTCTAGTGCTTGTGACCATAAACTGCCTTCCTGTAAATGGAGGGTTGGGTTGCAAAACCCAAGCTGAGAAGTTAGCCTTGCAAGTGGTCCAGGTCAGAGGTCATGAGCTGGAGCACGTGATCCTGTCAGTCAAGATCCTGGGGTGGGCTCTTGCCTCGGGGCCAGCTGTGAGCCAACACCCCTGCCAGCCGTCTGGGTCTCCTCTCCTGCACTGCCTCAGTGTGGCTGCGTGGCCAGGTTCTGGCCTCGGACTATTTGTGGTCCCATCGTCTCCCATGACCCACAGTCCAGGCCCTGCTGACCACTCACAGTTCTACACCTAAGTAGGTCCCCCGGCTTCCCTGCCTGAGCATCCACAGCACCATCCCTTGCATGGACACAGCCCCCCCAGGCTGGTGCTCCCCACCTTCAGCACCGCTCCCCCACTCAGCCTCACACACCCAGGTCTTCCTGCATGTGTCCTGGGGGTCCCACACCATCTTGGACAGCAATCCTTGAAAGCATTTGGTATGTGTGTCTGTGAGGGGAGAGGTGGGCACCACAGACCAGAGCAGGTGGGCGTGGTGGCCTGGGGGCATTTGGGGGAGGCTGGTCATGTACTGGTGTCCACTGTGACACAGGACCACAAATCAGGGGCTTAAGACAACGGGGCTGTCTTCTACAGCTTAGAAGGCCAGTGTCTGAGGGCAGGCTGTTGTCAGGGCCACGCACCTTCTGTGACTCTGGACAGCGTCCTTCCAGGCTCCCGTGGTGTCTGGAGGTGCCCATCGATCTGGGCATCTGGGCTTGAGGTTGTGTCACTGCAGCGTCTGCCCCTGTCATCACTATGTCTGTCTCTCTTCTTATGAGGACAGGGTCCTGGTGGGTTAGGGCCTACCCCACCCCACCCCACCATGACCTCGTCTTAACTTCGTGTATCTGCAGAGACTGAATTTCTAGAAAAGTCGTGTTCTGGGTTCTGGGAAGGACGAGAGTCAGGGGACCCTTCACCCCCGCCCCACCCTGTAGTCCTGAGCCTTGCCGGGCTGCTCAGGAGGGTATCTCGTAGGCGGGCATGGGATGTTAGAGGGGTTGCCTGAGAGCCAGCGTGACCATGCCTGCCTTCTCACCGCTGGGGTCACCGCAGCTCTGCAGCGCTTCAGTGAGAGCACCCTGGAGTACCTGGCCAACCTGGACCAGGCCCCAGACCCCACGGTCAGAAAGGACTCCTTCGCCTCAGACATCTTTGGTGCTTATGACATCCTTTTCCACCAGTGGCTACAGAGCCGGGAAGCGAAGGTACGCTCTGTGGGTGGGGACTGGTGACTGCACCTGCTGACTGCCCTCTCCCTTCCCAACCTGGAGGTCCTGCCGCAGACCCCTGGGCCCTTCTGCCATCCCTCAGGACCTCGGTAGAGATTTGTGTCCACCTGCCCATGCCAAGCCTTGTGTTGTGGGGTCTCCCCTGCAGGTCCTCGCAGCGTTGGGCTGCTTTGCTGAGGCCCCACCCCTACCTTGGGGCCTCCACACTTTAGGGAGGGGCCTGGCTGCTCTGACTTCTTCCCCGGCCCACTCCCTTCACCTTGTAGGAGCCTGTGCTCTAGGTCCGTGGTGGAGGACTTCCTGCCCTTGTCCCCCCACCACTGACCAGTGTCCCTGCCTCCTCCAGCTGCGGCTCGCAGTGGTGGAGGCCCTGGGGCCCATGAGCCACCTGCTCCCCAGTGAGAAGCTGGAGGAGCAGCTCCCCAAGCTGCTGCCTGGGGTGCTCACCCTCTACAAGAAGCACGCCGAGACTGTCCACGTGTCCAAGGTGCGCACAGTGTGGCTGTGGGCCTCAGTGGGTGAGGCCCTGGTGGGCTGTCGGCCTCAGTGAGGGCCGTGTGTAGAGCTGGAGAGCCAGGCCCCCTTCCTGGCACCACTGCCTCCTCACTCCAGCCCCAGGGTGGTGTCCTGCTGGGAGGCTCCCCCAGCCAGGTGGGATGGGGCTGAAGGCGAGGAGGTCCTGACAGTCTGCTCCGCCCTGCAGAGCCTCGGCCAGATCCTGGAGGCAGCCGTGAGCGTGGGCAGCCGCACACTGGACATCCAGCTCGACTCTCTCCTGGCCGCTCTGCACGCTCAGGTGGGCCACTGGAGGGGTTTGTGAGCAGGCTGGGGCCGGGCACTGTTGTCCTGCTATGGGGGTGCCTGTTGAGGGGCCCAGGGAGCAAGACTCAGGGCGGGGGTCCAGCCAGGTGGACTTCTGCAGGCTTCCCAAGTCATCTGGGTGCAGCCCTTGGGGGTAGACTGATTTGGGCAGTGGGGCACAGGACAGCCCCACGCACGGGGGCAGGAGGGGAGGGGGCGGCCAGCAGGCAGGGGGAGCATCTGCGCTGCCTGCAGGTCCCCAAGGGTCAGGGCTCAGGCGGAGCAAAGGAGCCGCCTCGACAGCTGAGGCCGGCACCGGGAGGGCCCGAAGGCGCTGCTGGAGCAAGGGCCTCAGGGCTCCTCAGCTGTAATGAGCCTGAAAAACTACGAAGTGGATAGATGCCTAGAGAAACCTTAAAAATGTCACAATTGGTAGAAGAGAAATAGAAAATTTGACTAAACTAGTAAAGAAAAGGAAACTGCATTCCAGGCCCTTCCTTTCTGAAAACAAACCCAGGACCCAGTGGTGTTCAGATTGCCTCTTCTAGACTTTTGAGGGATAGCTCATTTCCACCTCACACAGGTGGGCTTGGAAATGAGAAAAGGATCTGGAGCTGCCTGACAGGTTCTGTGGGACTGGTCTTGACTCCAAGTCAGGACCACACAGAAAAATCTGGGCGCCCATGGGAGAGCTGGCATGAGGGTCTGTGTGGAGGAGAGTTGGCTGCCCACCCTGTACTTGCCACACACGGGGCCCAGTGGGAGGGGCTGTGGGAAGGTTATCTCTGATCTCAGCGATGCAGTAAAAGCTTTTGAGTAAGTTCAGCACCTACTTGTCATTGAAACTCTTAGCAACCAGGATGGGAAAGGAGCTTCTCTTGGTAAATTTTAAATACCTGATCCATCAGCCTGCATCATACATGTGATGGATACAGCTTGCATCACAATGGAAAGGAGCGACCACCTTCACTTAACCATCCAGAGCAGGACGGAGCCCCACTCACTTGTCAGCAGGGCTTGGGGTGAATCCTGTGAGGAGAGAAGCAGAAGGGAAGGATCCAGAACAGACCTGTGGTTTGCCTTCGCCTGGCCACCTGCCCACCCTGCGTCCTGTCAGGCCACTGCTCCCCATGCCCAGCGAGGCGGCAGAGGCCTGAGGGCAGGGTTGCCTTGTTCTGGCCCCCGCCATGTCTGCTTCTAGCAGATATTTGTTCTGGATGGTTGATGCACTCATCTAGAAGTTCATTCATACAAGAACTGAATCTATTTACAAGTCATAGAACTCTGTTCAGCAAGGCTGCCAGTTACAAGACCGACCTGTAAAAATCAAGAGTATTTTCCCCCATCAGTGGTGACCAGCTAGAAAGTACCAAAAAAAAAAAAAAAAGGTGTTTACAATAGCAACAGAAACTTAATTGTAAAGTAGCTTGGAATTAACCTAGCGAAGAATGCCTAAGATCTCAACTTGGGGAAAGAGTGACCAAAAAATGAGAGATAGAGTATTATTTACTTAATAGAAAGTGATGGCCTGAAACTAAAAACAGTGTAATCTGTGGGGAGGGGTTGGGGTTTAAAAGGGGAATATTTGTGGAAAAGCTGAGAAGCTAGAAAAGTGTGATATATCCTTTTCTTAGTGTTTTCCATTCACGTCTTTTGTTTTTATGTTGATTTTAGATTTTTTTTTTTTTCATATTGGTCTGTAGCAGTTATTTATAGTCTTGTGTCATGTATGTAGATATTTGTTTCTGCTTTGTTGTTATCTGTGGCTCTGTTTATGATTTTTTTTGCCATAGAACATTATTTAATTTTTTAAAGCCATCATTTATCTTTCTTTATACAGTCAGGTTTTGCTGTACTTAGAAAAGGCTTTCCAATTCTTCAGTGAGTTTTTAGGTTCTCTCATTTCCCCTATACTGTTTAATCATCTGGAGTGTATTTTAGAGGAAGAGTGAAAAGCTAGTTTTATCTTTTCTCCAGGTGACTGCCCTTGTCACTAGTTCTCTCTCTGATCTATCACCTTTTAACTGATCAGTGCAAACCTTAGCACCTGGCCTCAGCAGCAGTTTGCGCTCTAGTCACTGTGGAGTTCTGAGCACCTCACGCATCTTCCACAGGTTCCCTGGGGCAGGCCAGAGCATCTGCTTCCAAGCTGCTCCCTCGCTGGCCCCCGGCCCTGGTGGAGGCACTCTGTGGGTCGCTGAGTGACCCCAGGAGCGGGCAGCAGGGCCCTAGGGACCTGGAGCCAGCCTGGCGGCCCTGCCTGCACCTGCTCCACCAGCTGCGTTCCCCTGGGAACTGGCAGGGCCAGGCTGGGGTGGCGCCTGTGGTCGCTGCACCGCGGCTCCCTCCTGGTTGGGAGGCTGGGCTTTCCCAAGGGTACCCTCAGAGCCCTTTGCCCAGAGGCCCTGCAGGTCCATTGTTGTGACCTTGGGGGCTGAGTGGGGACAGGGGTGCCACCCAAAGCTCAGCCCAAGCGTTGCCCACAGAGGTACAGTGGGATCCAGGGGCGCAGCCGCCTGCAGCCTCTGCCCATACTCCTGCCAGGGCAGCTCCCTTTCTGGCTCGGTTTGGACGGACAGACTCCAGTGTTTTTTGTGCTCGCGTGTCCTACCCGAGAAAGTGGGGAGCTGTCTCCTTTCTCATCAGGAAGTGTGTCTGGGGAGTTTGTTCTCCTGGCTGCCTGTGGGTAGGGTGGGGTGTAGGAGGAGGGCCAGCTGTGTGTCCTGTGTTCTCCCCCCACCCTGCCTGCAGGGCCTGAGAGCATGTCTGGGCACAGGCAGGGGTTCCTACACCCAGGTGAGCACGCCTGAGGACCTGCAGCTTCCTGGAAGCTTGAGACATCCCTCTCCAGCCTCAGCAGCCGCTGACTGTGTCCTCTGTCCCGGACAGATCTGCGTGCCCGTGGAGTCGTCCAGCCCACTGGTGACGAGCAACCGGAAGGAGGTGCTGCGTTGCTTCACCGTACTGGGTACGCGGGCGGCGCCCTCGGTCTTGTCCGGGGCTCACCGCCCTGACGTCTGTCCTCCCCGCTGGGCCTGGGGGGTGCGGGCAGCCAGCAGGGAGCAAGACGGTCTTGATGAGCACTTGCCCGCAGCCTGCTGCTCGCCGGACCGCCTGCTGGCCTTCCTGCTGCCCAAGCTGGACACCAGCAACGAGAGGACCCGTGTGGGCACCCTGCAGGTCCTGAGGCACGTCATCAACACGGCGGGTGAGTGCCTTGTGGAATGGAGATGGGATAGGCCCGCCTTGTCCATCTTCGGGATGAAAAGGAGCATTTTGCTTTGAGTTATTGAAATACTTTCCCCAACTTTCTATTTTGCAAAATTCCCTACTTTTTGAAGAGTTGCAGCAGTGGTGCTCGCGTGCCTGCCAGCAGGTTGTCCGTCACTGATGTTTGCCCTCGGCAGGGGCTGTAGATGGTGGGCCGTGGCGCCTCAGCGTGGGGGGCTGGTGGCTGAGTCCTGCCGACCACCCCCCACCTGCAGCCATCCACGGCAGCGGCCCCTCAGTGTGGAGGCCTGGCCGTGGGCACAGCTTGCTCTGCTGTCTCTTAGATGTGGACCTTGGGAGGAGTGGAGGCCAGTTCTGTGGAAAGTCCCTGGCTTCCATGTGTCTGAAGATTTCCTCACAACTGGATAGGAGAGTTCATGTTTCTTGCTTTAAAGCAGTTTTAATCAGCAATAAGCCTGAATGGTTTTCACACCTGAATTTGTGTGTGTGTGTGTGTGTGTGTGTGTGTGTGTGTGTGTGTGTGTGTGTGTGTGTCTTGGTTGCTAAACAGTGGCCATGGCTACATCAGGCCTTCAGGTTGGAGCCCCGGGAGTGGTGCTAAGATTCTGATAACCCTGGAGGTGCCCTCACCGCACACTTGAACCTGGGACCCCTGACTCAGCTCTGCTGCCCTGAACTTCCAACATCCTCACTTCTTAATTGGATAAAATAATGTCATTTGCTGAAAAAAGTCATTTTTCCCTTGGAGAGAGATGGGTGGGCCTGTGCTTAGGTGGCCTTCTCCCCACCCATGCAGAGGGCCGCACTGAGGCCAGGGCCCCGCAGCACAGGCTTGGCCCTCGTTGTGGCAGAAAGGCTGCCCGGCCTCTGCCCATTGGCAGGCAGACTGAGCCCCCTGTTGGTTTCTTGCAGCTGCTCAGATGGCAGTTAAGAAACCCTTCATTCTCTCCTCCATGAAGCTCCCTCTTCTGGACACCAACAACAAGGTGGGTCAGCGGGCAGCTTAGCGCGGCCCTGCACAGTGAGTGGCAGGCGGCACGGCCACCACTGACAGGCAGCTGCGCCTCAGCACACCAGGCCTCGGCGCGTGCGTGCAGGCCTGGGTGTCTGCTGAGCTGCATGTCTGGGCCCCCGACTTCCTCCTGATACATTAACCAGGCGTGAAGCTAGGAAGCAGTCCTCAAGACCACCTTGGGGCTTGATCGTTCTCTAGAAGAACCTGGCCCTGTGGAGCCGTGGGCAGTGCTGTGCTGGCTTGCATGGAGGACTGCCCAGGGAAGCCCCAGCCTTGTGTCGGGGGTCTCTGTCAGGCCTCCGTCATGCAGATCTTGGCATCCAACCCTTCAGGTGGCCTGATGCCCTACCTGAGTCACAGGGCTAGACAACTTGGTGCAGTGGAAGCCCCAGGGAACAGGAGCCTGGACTCCGGCAGGATATCCATGGCTTGGTGGTGACCCCAGAGCCGAGGGCGGGGCTGGCCCCCCTGCTCGGGCTCAGTGGCAGCGAGTCCCCTTCCCGGGACCTCCCTAGCCTTTGTGCTCATCCTCCACCCCGTTCATGGGGACTGGAGCCCAAATCACCGAGGCTGTATCTGTTTCAGGGCCTTTGTGCCCTGTGCCACCCTCAGAGGGGCCCGGCGCTTGTCTGCAGTGTCGGTGGCCAGAAGCACCCAGCCTCGGGGCCCCCAGGCTGCCACCTGGCTCAGTCCCTCCAGACCCGTGGCCTCTGGTCACTCAGGACACGCGTGTGGCCTGGGGTCTGGGGAGGAGAGGTGTGACCAGGACAGGGGGAGGGCCCCAGAGATGGGTGCTGGGCTGGGGGAAGGCAGGGGGTGCAGGCAGGGAGGAGGTGAGATGCCCGCCCCTGCTGGGCCACCGTGCTGCATCCAGCGCTCCTCTGAGGCCCCTTCCTGCGCCCCCCTGCTCCGGGCAGGTGAAGCGGGCAGTGGTGCAGGTGGTCAGCGCCATGGCCCACCACGGCTACCTGGAGCAGCCTGGCGGCAAGGCCATGGTCGAGTACGTCGTGCAGCAGTGCGCGCTGCCCCCCGAGGCTGAGGTAAGGCATGCCGTCCCTCTGCTCCATCATCGCGTGTCGTCTCTTGGACCCAAGGTTTGTCGTCTGACTGCTGAAGGGCGCTCTGGGGGTGTGCCAGTCTGCTAGCCACGTGGCAGGTGTGAGTAAAGCATCCGTGAAAGTGTGGGTGCAGGTTTCTGCAGGGCGTGCGTTTGTCCCCCTGTGTAAGCAGCTGCTGTGAGATGCTGAGATGTTTAATTTCATAAGAAGCTTCCAGACGGTTTTCAAAAGTAGCTGTGCCATCTCGCGGCCCCAGCAGCAGCCCTGTTGGCACATGGGGTTAGGTTGGTGCTGTGTGTCTCATTTTCCAGCTACTGTGACAAGCTAGCATGCCCGTGACCAGTAATATTGGCATCCATGTGTCTATGTGCCTGCTCACAGCTTTTACCTGCTTTGGAGTTGGGCTGTTCCCTTTCTTCTTCTTCAGGACAGAAGTGCTCTTCGTATAGTTTAGATTCAAGTGCCTTATCAGACTTATGGTTTGTAAATATTTTCTGAAAAATCTGTTGCATCATAGGTGTTTATTTTCTTAACATTGTATTTCAAAAAGCAAAAGTGCTAATATTTTAGAAGTCCACGTTATTGGGTTTTTATTTATAGCTCTTGTTTCTGGTGTTGTAACTAGTAAATCCTTTCTTTACCCAAAGTCACAAATGTGTTCCCCCATGTTTGCTTCTAGAAGTTTTACACAGGTCTGTGATCCATCTTGAGTTAATTTTGTTTAACGTGAGGTGTGGGTTCAGGCTCAGTATTTTGCACGTGGATATCCTGTTGTCCCAGCACCGTTTGCTGTAAACACTCTTCTCCCCACGTGGATCAGCTGCCTTTGCCTGGATGTCGAGAACCCAGTGACTTGGATGTTTATAATTTTCTAGGTGATTAGCCTTTTGTGGCTACCGTGGGCTTGTAATTTTATTGCATTGAATCTGGCCAGGTGTATCTCTGCTTCTAAGTGTTTCTTGAGATTTTTCTTTTGGCCTAATAGTCAGGCATTCAACATTGTTTGCGTGTATTTGGTATAAAGTTTTATCTATATTTTTATAGCATGCTCTAAAACTTGCTATTCAGGCCCTAAACATCTCTATTTTTTTCTTCTCAATCTTTAATTTCTTGGTGAGAGGTGCCAAATGTCTCCAACAGTCATTGCGGTTTTCCCACTTTTGCTTGGTTTTTAGTGTTCGCTTTTCAGTGTTTCAAAGCGTGAATTGAAGACTCAGCATTTAGAGAATAGAGTCCTTTTTTGCCTGAAAGGTTCCAGGGAGCTGGGCTCTGGAGCACTGGCTGTGGAGCACTGTCTCCTTGGGTCTGAGAGAAACCACTGGCTGATGAAGCAGCAGGGCTTGTCTGTGTTCTTGGTGGGAATGGCATTTTCTCAGGCAATGACTGCATCCACAAGGACGGAACACCACCTGTGAGGACGTGGTCAGCGGCTCTCAGGAAATGCTCGCAGTTTTTCTAGTCTGGACACTGGAGCACGGCCCAGGGAGCTGGCTTTCTTGGGCGATTTTAGTGGAGAGCGAGTGTCCTGCCAGTGACAGGGAACGGTCCACTCTTTAGGGGCTGGGCAGGGCCTGTCATGCTTCTGTTCAGGCCGTGTCCTCAGGGCCAGAACCCATGACTGGTGCCCTGCAGAGCAGAGTGCACAGCATCCTGCCCTCCCACCCCCCCAGCCTCAGAAGCCGGGCACTGACAGTGAGGCCCTGTCGGCCGATAGCGTGCGGGCCATCAGCGTCAGCACCCTCTACCTGGTCAGCACCACTGTGGACAGGATGAGTGAGGTGAGCGCCCCCGCCCTGGGGGACCCATCACCCTGCTCCTGACCCCTCGGCCTGGGAGCAGGTGCAGGGAGGCCGTGGGTGCGGGGAGGCAGCGCTGCGGGTCTGGGCTCCCACACACCCTGTGCTGCCTCCAGGTCCTCTGGCCGTACCTGCTTGAGTTCCTGGTCCCCGTCCGCTTCACTGGGGCGCTGAGCCCGCTCTGCAGGAGCCTTGTGCACTTGGCCCAGAAGAGGCAGGAGGCGGGGGCCCATGCCCCCCTCATCCAGTACAACGGCAACGGTGTGCCCTGCCCCAGCCCAGCCCTCCCCCACCTGCCCCCCAAGAGGGCGGCCCTGAGTGCTGTGGTTTGTCTCCCTGCAGTGCACCTCCCGTCTCCCTACGCCATCACCACCAGACTCCTGGTAAGCAGCCACTCAGTCCTCAGCGGCTTCTCCTCCCGGCCAGGTGGCCTCCGGGCAGTGCCCACTCTGAGGGGCATCGGGGGGGGGGCGTGGACACTCCCCTAGTCCCTGTCGCCCTACCCTCGTGCTGTCACTGCCCCAGGAAGGACCATCAGGCACTCCGGGAGGGATTTGGGGAGCTGCGTCTCTGGGGCCTCCTTGCCCCCACCTGGGTATCCATGCTTGGCCTCGGGTGGAGCACTGTGGCCCAGGACGCTGGTGGAGACCCCAACTCTGCCTCCTGCAGGCCGTGTCTTCCAATCCATATGTGGGGGATGGTCGCGGGGCAGCCTCACTGCGCCTCCTGAGTGTCTTGCATCAGGACATCCACCCGGCCCTGGGTCAGCGGTGGGCAACTGCCATCCCCCTGCTGCTGGAGCACCTGGACGGTGAGGCCCGGGGTGGGGCGCTGCTGCTCCTCCTCTGACCCCAATTGTTGCCTGTTGGCATCAAGGCTGGGCACTGGAGACCAGGGTTTTAAAAGTTGGAAGAAATCGCCTCTGCTGTGGTTCAGGAAAGGGCCTGGAGAGTGGGCTGGAAAGATGCTCGCTGCCTGGTGTCACCTGCAAGCTTACTGGATGTGGGCCCTTTCTTCTTCTATCCTGGAGCCAAAAGGGCCTGGGCCTGGTGGAGGGGACTCTGAGCTCTCCACTGCTGTCTGCCAGGCTGAGCGGGTGACTGGTCATTTCAGAATACAGTGAAGAAACCCTGTCACAGAAGGAGTGGGAAGAAAAGCTGCTGATGGTGAGAAGAGGAGGAGATGAGAGCCTGCTTTGGGCACAGGCCCTTTTTTGGCCCGGCTGGGGAGGGCTGGGGCAGTGGCTGCTGGGGGCACTGTACCTCCCAGAGTGGTGGTGCTTGCCTTGAGCTGGTGGTGATGGGGAGGGGTGGAGGGACAGGTGAGTGTCTCTGGGGTGAGGACTATGTGCTGCGATGCGGTCAGATCACAGGGGCTGCTCTGGCCAGAGAGCCCCCCGTCCAGTCCCCTGCTTGGTTGAGGCCCTTAGTGCCTGTGTGCTGCATGCCTCACCACCCAGAATTTCTGTCTTGGCTTCAAAGTTATCTACGGCCATTCGGAGCTATGGCACAGGAACTGTGGTCACCGCCTGTGGCACCAGGGGCTTTGGGTTCTCCCCTAGTCCGGCCAGGGAGAGGCTGAGCCCGCCCTCATTGGTGGAGTTCCTGCCCGCAGTTTCTCCGGGACTCCCTGGCTGTCGTGTCCGACAACACCTGGGTCTGCCAGCTGACCCTGGAAATGTGCAAGCAGCTACCCAACTACAACGGGACGCCCCTGGAGAAGGTGCACGGGGAGGGGAGCCCCAGGAGGAGGGGAGGGGGGAAGGGAGCCCAGGAGGAGCTCCTCCAGGAGGAGGTGCAGGGGGACACACTGCCAGCAGTGCCGTGGGCAAGGCCCTCGATCCTGTCCCCTGATTCCGTCTCTTGCTCCCTGAGCCTGTCTGGTGGCTGCTGTGGTCCTGGCAGGACCTGGAGCAGAAGGCTGTGGGCTGGCGGCTGGAGACGCAGCGCTCCACACCCGCCTGCTGCTCCTCAGACACTGCACAGAGCGCTCCTGGCCCTTGCAGTGGTGTGCAGTGGTGTGCCTGGCCCATGGGGCACTGAGTGCCCCACTGAGGGCATCCCTCCACTGGGGGGCTGGCGCCACCCCTTGTCTGGCTTCATCGCAGAACTTCCTGTACAAATGTGTCGGGACCACCCTGGGTGCCGCTTCAAGTAAGGAGGTGGTGAGGAAGCACCTGCAGGAGCTGCTGGAGACGGCCAGATACCAGGAGGAGAGGGAGCGTGAGGTGGCTGCCCCCCAGCGTGTGCGCGTGTGTGCGTGTCCCCCGCCCCACCTTGCCCAGGTGTGAGTGCACCTGTGCCTCCCCAGGGCCTTGCCTGTTGCTTTGGGATCTGTGCCACCTCCCACCTGGATGACACCCTGGCCCAGCTGGAAGACTTTGTGAAGTCAGACATGCTCAGAAAATCTGCCGGCATTTTCAACATTTTTAAGGTAGCACGGTCAGGTTGACAGCTAACAAGGAGGCCTGGAGTAGGCTGGCCCCGGGGTTTTGTCTTAGCTGTGGTGCCAGCATGCTGAGGTTCGGGAAGGCGGATGGGGTTAGTCCTAGAGCTTCCTGGGCTCAGTGCCCTGCAGGCTGGGGGTGGGGCAGAGAGCTGGCCTCCAGTCTCTGCTTCCTCATGGGTGGGGCTGGTGTGTGTGGGCTCCCTCGCACATTGGGGTAGGGGGCGACGAACCGGCTCTGGGCAGCAGGATGGGAACAGCCCCTTCCTGTCCCGCCTCCAGTTTGTGTGTCATCTGCCCCCTGGTGGCCGGTGGACGCTGCTCGCAGGCTGAAGCTGGTGCAGGGGAAGCACCTGCGCTGTCTGTTCCTACCCCAGCCCGTCTCCCTGGACTGGGGTTACCAGTGCCAGGGTCTTGGGCTGATATAGTGTGAACAAGCCCTGAGGACATAGGGGCCATGGGCAGCCACCCAAGCAAAGACGGGGACCCCACCCGGCCCTTTGGTTGCTCTCAGCCCCCAGCCCCTCCTCCTGCTTGCCCCTCCCGCCGTGGTGCCCCCCTGCATCCTTCCCCCTCTGACCCTTGGTCCCCAACAGGCCCCAGACATGGGGTCTCCTCGGTCAAGTGGCATCTTCTTTCAGACCGGCTCTGCCGTTCTTTGGCACCTGGGGTCGGAGGGTGCGGCTCCTGCTCGGGGTGTGATTGTCACAGAGCTCTGACCTCTCAGGATCGGAGCGAGAGCGAGGCCGACAAAGTGAGGAGTGCACTGATCCTGTGCTACGGGCATGTGGCGGCCCGGGCCCCGCGTGAGCTGCTGCTGGCCAGGGTGGAGGCGGATGTGTTCCGGAACATGTCCCAGTGCTTCAGCACCAAGGTGGGCGTCTGGGTGTCTCAGAGGCTCGGGGCGGTGCGCTGCCTCAGGAGCCTCTTATGTAACTTGTCTCACTTCTGTCATCCAGGTTCTGGGGATAAAAGTAGAGACCAAGGTACAGTGTGCGGGGCCTGAGCTCTTTCCTCTGTCTGGGCTGGCCGGGCGGCAGCCGGGGCGGCAGCGGGGCGCTCCCGGGGCGTCCTAGTCCCAGTTCAGGCAAGGCCTGCAGGATGGCCCTCTGGGGCCTAGGAGCTCCTGCCCTGGCCCAGGCCCCAGAGGTAGGGGGGACGGAGGGGAGGTGGTGGCTCGCAGGCTGGTTGGGGGCCTCGACTATGCCCCTCTCCTGGCTCCACTCCATCTCCGCCAGCGCCTGGTCGGGGGAGTTCTGCATCCAGGACAGCAGCCTCTGCCTCACTAACACGACTCCCTTGTGGACTTTGGCACTAACCTGGGAACCTTCTCCGGGAGTGGCCGGGCTGTCACCCTGAAGAGCAGACCCCCACCACCCTGGGTCTCATGGGGTCACTGGGCCAGGGCTGTTCTGTGACCTCTCTGACTCAGCCCTTTAGAGCTGGGGGCCAGCGTCTGCTGGGGCTCTGCCGGGGCAGCAGTGTCCCCTCCACCTGGGGGATGCAGCTGGATGGTGCATGGCAAGCCTGCAGTCATCTGCCCAGGGTTGTGACCCTAGGACCCCCAGGTCAGGCCCACAGCCAAGGGCCTCGGGTTCCTTCACAGACCCACCTTGGCCCACGTGGAGGACTGGCCGAGAGCCCGTAGACTGGAGGGGAGTCCACATCTAGCTTGCAGGAGAGTGGCCGGCGGCCTGGCCTCACCGCTGTGGGTGGCCCCCTCCTGCCGGGTTCAGCCCGTGGGCCTCGGGCCTCTGCGGCTCCCGTAGCCCGGTTGTCCTTGCAGGACCCAGCCCTGAGACTGAGCCTGGTGCAGAGCGTGTGCATGGCCACCCAGGCCATCTGCAGCAGCGCCCACGGTGGCTCCTTCCACCTCTCGAGGAAGGCCGAGCTGGTGGCGCAGATGGTGGTGAGAGCGGGTGGGCTGGGGAGGGCTGAGCCCCTGGGTTGTGGGGCCTGACCTGGGGGCAAGCTGGAGCTTTGGCCAAGGGCTGCCCTGCGGCTGCTCCCCCAGGAGTTCATCAAAGCAGAGCCCCCAGACTCGCTGAGGACGCCCATTCGGAAGAAGGCTATGCTCGCCTGCACGTACCTGGTGTATCCTTTCCTTGGGGGGCAGCTCTAGGGGGGCCCTCTGCATGAGCACTGGGCCTTAACTGACGGCTCAGTACCCTGGAGCCAGCCCTGGAGGAGCAGGTGCAGGCGGACCTGATTCACAGCTGCCTGCACAGTGTCATGGCCATGCTGCCTGAGCTAGAGGAGGGGGACAGCCACCAGGAGGTATCAGCGGCCCCTGCGGTGGGAGGTGGGGGACAGCCCCCAGGAGCTATCAGCAGCCCCCGCGGTGGCCCTGTCCACGGGTGGGGGGTCACAGCAGGACTGGCAGCTTCTCTTGTTCCAGTCCCTGTACCTGGACACCATGCAGGCCCTCAAGGACTTGCTGACGAGCCTCCTTCAGCGGAACATGACGCCTCAGGGTCTGCAGGTCATGGTGGAGGTGTGTGGCGGGCCATGGTGCTCTGTGCAAGTGGGAGGTGGCCTGTGAGCCAGTGAGCAGGGCCCCTCTGGCCTGGGGGGTATGCAGACAGGTGCAGTCTGAGCAGACAGGGGCTCGGAGCTCGATCTCTCTGCTCCCCCATCGTGGGGCCCAGACAGAGAGACCCTGAGGTGCCCCAGATGGGCACTCCTGACTGTCTGAGGCCATCATGATGGTGGGTGGGTGGCTGTGGGCTGGGGCAGCACGGACCCATGTCTGGGAACACCATGTCCTTGCGTGGGCATGGCTAGAGAGTCCACCAGGGGTGGCCATGGCCATGAGCCAGGCCAGCAGGACAGAACGACGGGGTGGGGGAGGCGCTGCCCAGGGGGCCCACTCTGACCTGGCGCACTGGCCCCCATGCCCAGAGGGTGGCCTGGCCGGGAGGCTGCCCCAAGCTGCACCTATTGAAGCCCCTTCTTCCCCAGCACCTGAGCCCATGGATCAAGTCCCCGAGGGGCCACGAACGGGTGCGGGCACTCGGCCTGAGTGCCTGCCTGCTGCAGTTCTTCCTAGAACACCTGCAGATCAGTGTGAGTGCCCCAGGGCAGCCCGCACGGCCCCTCCCCAGCCCCATGCCTGTCCCCTGGCCCGAGGACCACAGTGTGGGGCCCTCACATCTCCCACTGCCCAGTGCTGTAAGCAGCACTGTCCTCTCTTGGGCTGTGGACAGAGGACCACAAGAGTCAGCAAGTGTCCTCAGGGCTGGCCACTCGGCATTGAATCTGATGGGCAGCCTTGTCCTTGGGAGCCCGCCCGATGCAGGGAAGGGTGATGGGGACCCCCACGTGAGAGGAGGAGTGGAGGGTGTTGGAGGTAGAAGCCGCAGCTTGGGCCAAGGTGGGGACTTGTGAACCCCTGGAGCGCAGCGGTGAAGACAGCACTGTTAGTTGGAGCGGTAGGAAGGAGCGCCTCCCAGAGCCGCACGGTTACTCTGCATTTTAGTATTTGTTGGGGTTCAGCAGCTCCTCTTCCCTTGTTAGAACTTCACAGTTGTTCTTACAAGGCCGTTACTCTGCTGGCTTTAGGGTGGACGGGCGTGGTCCTCCTACACTCCCGCGTGGCCTTGACAAGGCTCCTGTGCTGACAATGATGGACCTGGCCACCCCGGCCCCCAGCCCTAGCAGAGGCACGGTCTGTCACTGCTGTCTCCACTGTACATAATCATTTACTTATTGCGGTAGGCAGGAGAACTGGGCTTTTGGATACTTGGGAACTGGTAGGAACTGGGTAGTTTATAAGGAATAAGATTCCTCTGTGACTCTTAACGAGTTTTTAGTTAATTCTCTGCTCTTAAGACACACAGCCACAGCCGTTCACAAAGGCCATGAGTTCGACCTTTCTCACCATCCCGACGCCTGTGGGCTTGTGCTGCTGACAGCAGAAAGGTGAACACTGGCGGTGGCCCCAAGCCGCTAAATGTCAAGCGAGATGCTTGTTGGTTAGCAGTGTTTATTTTTTTGTTGTGTTCAGAGCATCGTCTGTTGGCTGGCTTAGACAGGTTTTCCCACCCAGGTTCTCCCATGGCCTGTTTTTCACATAAACCTGGTCCAACTAGAGTTCAGTTTTTGTTCGTGACGAGACAGGGCTCTGCCCTTATGGAGAGGAACGCAGCTGGTGGTCCCCAATCCCCGTCCAGCCTTCCCCTGGTTTCAGGAGGAGTAGCAGCCTGGAGCCCCACATCCTTCAAGAGCCTGTGCTGGGCGGGGCGCGTGGTGGCGCTTCCCTGGGAGGCTGCTTGGTGTGGGCTGTATGTTGGGGGTGGGTAGCTGATGTCCCCCGGTTTGGGGCGTAGGAAGCAAGGCCCTTTGGCCAGAGCAGGGTTGAGAGGACAGCAGGGTTGGGAGGAGAGCAGGAAAGGCTCTGAAGAACAGGCCCAGTCCCCATGGGGATGAAAGGGCTCGTGTAGCACCCCTTGGCTTTTGGGGCAGGGATTCCCATGTGTCTGAGGAGTGAGCAAAGGCCAGCCATGCCCTGTCCACACCCCTGCTTGCCCAGCTCTCGTCCCTCTTGGGACCCACCCTGAGGTGGGGGAGGGCTGCCCTCTGGTCACACGCCCACCCATATCTGGATCCAGGGGGTGCAGGTACCTGCCCACCCCAGCGACTCCTGAGCCCCAGTGCCGTCTCTGGCTGTCTGCCCCCAGCATCCCCACAGCACCCCCACATCTGCCTCTCCAGGCCCTGGTGCCCTTCCACAACCTGGGCCTCCTTGTTGGCCTCTTCTCCCCACGGTGCGCTGACCTCTGGCTTGCCACTCGCCGAGAGGCTGTGAACTGCGTCCACTCCCTGCTGTACCTGCAGCTGGGCTATGAGGGTGAGCTCCCCCGGCTGGGCAGCAGTGTGTGTGTATTGAGGGGATGAGGGAGCAGAGGCTGGGCCTCTGGTGGCCAGGGAAGGCCTGTGCCCACCCCACGCACCCTGCCACCTTGCAGGCTTCTCGCGAGACTACCGGGATGACGTGGCTGAGCAGCTCCTCAGCCTCAAGGATGGTCTGGCGCACCCTGACCCCACCATTCTCTTCCACACCTGCCACAGCATTGCCCAGGTACCTGCCAGTGGCCACTGCAGCAGCTCCTTGCATGTACGGGCTCTGTGGGTGCCAGCTGGGTAGACAGGGAGGTCTTATCAGAGTTCCGTGTCCAGCACCCCCGCCCCTCATGCACTTGCTGGGCCCACCCTCCGGGGCCCACTGGGGGGTGGCAGGAGCTCAGCTCCTGACTCCGCACAGTTGAGAAAGCTGCCCTAGCCCACCCCGTGACTCCCAAGCCAGGGCAGTGCTTCTGTTCCACTTGGTGACTGGAAATGGCTCTCATGGGTCTAGAGGCTCTTTCTCTCCTGCTGAAGATGGAAGGGAAGGGGGTCAGCAGGGCCCTTTGCGGGGGTCAGGGGGGCTCAGGCATTGAGAAGCAAAGACCCAGCCCAAGGGGAGTCCAGGGGGAGCAGGAACTTCATGTTTGGGGTCAGACTTTCTAGATATTCATCCACTTCTGTGATTTTATTTCTTCTCTGTACAGAGTTTATCTGCCCCAACTTCTGGTTGCTCTCTGTTATGTGGAGGGAGGCCAGGGACTCTCCTCTGTTGCTGGGCTGTGGGAGGAGCTGAGGGTACTTTGGAGCCTCCGAGGCTGGGCAATCCAGGGTAGAGCATGCCCCCATCTGCCCTAGACTCTAGAGAGGCTGCACACCAGTACCACTCCTAGCTTACCCCGCTGGTCAGGAGGCGCCTCTGGGAGGGTGCTGACCTGGGCCCTGCAGATGCCCAGGGACCCCCTTCCAGAGGCCTGAGCCTGGAGGCCATGGGCTGCACCTAGATCTGGCTTCAGTCTGGGGAGGGGTCCTGGGCGTGGGTCACCCCACCTGGCACTGGCAGAAGCTCCAAAGGCTTTAAGGGCCTGTAAGAGGGTGGGAAAAGTTGGAGGAGGGTTTGAGAGGGGTCAGTCCTTCCCTGAGAAGCTGAGTCCCTGGGATCCACGCCCCGAAGGTGTGCTGACCCCCTCCTCTTTGTCTTCCTGACGCAACTGTCCTCCTAGATTATTGCCAAGCGCCTCCCGCCAGATCAGCTCATCAGCCTCTTGCTAACCTTGTTTGAGGGCCTGGGAGATCCCGACAAGAACTGCTCTCGAGCCGCCACTGTCATGATCAACTGCCTGCTCAAGGAGCGGGGCAACATGCTGCAGGAGAAGGTGGGGCCTTGGGGCGGGGCCAGGCGTGGGCAGGGCGGGGCCTGGTCTAGAGCTCCTTAGGCGCGTAGTGTGGGCGTGGTCATGTCTAGCTGGTCAGCCGGGAGTGCCGGTGGGCAGGGCTGGTAACCTGGGGCTCCCCACCCCACTCTCTCACCCCAACGCCTGCTCTGTGGAGTTTTGGACCTCAGCACTCTGCGCTTCTCCCTGTGGGCCTGATTGGATAAATCTTTCTCTTCTCTGTGAAGACTGAACTAAGTGAAAGTAACTGCTTAGAACGTAAAGGTAGAAAAGGCAGTTGAAAGGGAAAGGCCAGTGCTAGGGTCTGTGATTGGGCACTGAGCTGGCACGGACTAAGCGCCCTGCTCACATTGCTGGTGAGGACAGGGGTCCACAGGGTCACCAGGTGCTGGCACAGAGGCTTCCGCGGCAGGTCCAGTCCAGAGCAGAGGTGTCCGGGCCACTCAGATCCTGCCCTATCCACCATCCCATCATCACCTTTGAGGCCTTCTGGCCATGAGCTCACGTGGCAGCCCACGTGGTTCCCAAACATGGTTGCCAGCCACCCTGACAGACGTGCTCAGGTCCTGAGGCCTGAACAGGCTCCAAAGCTCAGGTGACTGCTCTATTAGTGCTAGATTCACGGCTTCCCGTGAATCCTATGAACCGGATGGCCCAGCAGGTGGGGTCCCATATGCTTGGACAAAGATTTAAGCTCCCTATTAAAGTGGAGCATAGCAACAGAAAGGAAGGTTGTGCTAAGTGCACAGCCTTGGGGTTCACAGACAGGAGCAGAGGCCCCACCAACCTCAGAGCCCCTGGAACCCCAGCTGGCCCCATAGGGTGCCACAAGCTCTCCACAGCACAGAGCAGGGCTTGGGATGCACCTCGTGTAGAAGGTGCCTCACGTCTGGCCTACGTAGCTGTCGTCTGTGGCACAGCATGTGTCTTCCAGGCCTGGCCCATGTGGGTCGCTCCATCACTCCCTCACCTGCCCACCTCAGCGAGCACTGGGCAGTTCCCAGTATGAGCATGAGAGTGCTCCTGGAGTCGGGCTCCTTTGGACCTGAGGGTGCATTTCAGTTGGAGACATGCCCAGGAAAGTGACTGGGGCCGCAGGAGAGGCCTTTGTGCTGCTGTCCCAGGGCTATCGGACGGCCGCGGGGCTGTCCCAGCTTCTTCGAGCACGTTTCTCTGTGGCTCATGAACTGGAGCGCTTGCACGTTTCTTGGCTACTCAGATCTCCTCCATGAGGAGAGTGATCTTGGCCATTTTCTTCTGGGTGGTCTGTGCTTTTCTTACCGGTTTGCAGAAGTACTTTGTATATTCTGGGTACAAGTCCTGAATTGGATGGGTCCCTCACAGGTGTCTTCTGGGGGGGAGGCGGAGGAGGAGCTGCCAGTGGAGAAGCCCTGTGTGGAGGGGCTGCCTGCTGAGGTGGGGGTGGGGGCGGTATGTGCCGCCTGGAGGGGAACGTGTGCCACCGTGGGGCCCCAGCCAAGGCCTGAGGGTGTGGGGTGGGGAGTGGAAAGAGGATGGAGGAGGGTGTGACTGCAAGCGATGGTCAGGGGTTGACAGGCCAAGGTTCGGGTTTTGCACTGAGTGGGGCTTCTGGGTCATCTCTGAGTGGTAGAAAGGTAGCCTGGTGGCTCTGTGTCGGGGGAGGGGGACAGGCTGGACTGCAGGCCGTGGCCGCTGGTGGTCCTGGTGTCTGTATGTATATGCACACGTTTTGTTGATTCGTTCCTCTGTTGAAAGACACTTGGTGTGCTTCCTTTTCTTGGCTGTTGTGAGTCATGCTGCTGTAAACATGGGTGAAAGGCATATCTCTTCAGGATCCTGTTTTATTTTGGGTGAACATCTGGAAGTGGAGATGCAGGATCTTACGGTGATTCTATTCTGAATTTTCAGAGGAACTGCTGTACTGTTTTCCATAGTGACTGCACCAGTTTACGTTCCCACCAGCAGGGCATGGGGGTTCTGGCCACTATTTGTCAACGCCTATGTTTTTGATAGTGGCCACCCTGATGTGTGTGAAGCAGCATGTCATACTGGTTTCAACTTGCGCTTCCTGTGCAGTGAGTGATGTGGATGACTTGCCGGCCATTTGTTTGTCTTCTTCAGAGAAGAAGTCAACGTCCCTGCCCATTTCCAGATCAGGTTATTGGATTTGATGTCATTTTGGAACTGCAGGAGCTGCCTGTACTCTGAAATTAACACTTTATCAGACAGACGACTGGCAGGTGTTTCTGCACAGGTTGTCTTCTCCCTAGATCATGTATTTTGCTGCAGCTCCACATGCAGTGCTTTGAGGCTCATTTCCAAGGAGTCATTACCAAATCTAGTGTCCTTAAGATTTCCGTCTTTCTCTAGGAGTTTACTAGTAGTTTTGAGCCCTGCCCATCCTGGATAAATCAGGGTGCCTCTCCCCAGGCCCACGTGCTGAGCTGGCTGATGGCCTCCAGAGCTGCCAGGCTGTCTCCTCTGGCTCAGCCTGCAGACTCGCTCAGCACACCTACCCCCGGGCGGCGTCCCTGCCTCACACTTCCAGCCTGTCTGCAGCAGACCCCCTCTAGCTCACGTGACAGGGACACGGCATCGGCGCCATCGGTGCTGTTTCCTTTCTTGCCCCGAGAGCGTGCCGGGGGACCCCCAGAGACACCTGCACAGTCGGACTTGAGTTTCTCTGATACCAGATCAAAAAAAGGGGTCCTATTTGGTGACCCGTGACTGGGCTGACCCCTGCCCCAACACGCCAGGATGGTCAGGTGGGCACGGAAGGAACTGGGTGTCAAGGGCAGAGGGACGTGGTAGGAACGAACAGCTGCCTCCCAACGTGTGGGCGTGGGAAGCAGCACCACCCCACAGAGGTGGCGGGCAGACCTGAGGCAGAGGGACCCCGCCCAGTGGTAACTCCCGGGCATGTGCCTGGGTGAGGCAGCCGCGCCCACAGGAATCTGTGCAGGTTAAGGAGGAGGTCCCTGAAGGGGGTCCCAGTCTAGAAGCGCGGGCGTGGGCTGCTGAGGGTGAGTGTGGAGCAGCCCAGCAGGCCTGAGGTAGCCCTGAGCTCCCTGGGCTGGGTGGGCCCCGTTCACCAGTCCCGGGAAGCAGAGAACCCGGTGCGGATACAGCCAGAGCCGCCACACCTGAGCACTAGAGTGCCATCACAGCTCCAGAGTGTCAGGGCCAAGCGGCTCTTGGCACCCATGGGTATCGCTGCTGAGAAAGTCTGCAGAAGCAAAGACAACAGAGACAGATGAGCTGAGACAGTGTCTCAGACAGACCGACACCCAAGGGAGCAAAAGGAAACAGGGAAAAAATTACTTGCAGAAATTTGAAATGCAGTCAAGTGTACATACGGCCAGTTATGTTCCAGTGGACTTTAAGAACCTGAGGTGAGGGACTGGCCTCCGCAGGGCACCACTATCACCTGCACCTGTGAAAACCGCATCAGTGCCAGCCGGGCAGGCCTGGGGTCTTCTGGGGAGCCCTGCCTCTCACGGCCGAGAAAGAGCCCGGGAGACTGGAGCGAGCCACGCTCCTTGCCCCAGAGATGGTGTGGCCTGTTCCAGTGGCATGGTGGATGGGGCGATCATAGCCCATCCACCCGCGAATGTCACTGGGCCCACGCCCACGGCCGAGACGAGAACCCAGCCACAGTCAGCTCAGCCCCACCCTCCCGCCAGGCTCCCTAAGCAGGTTCAGTGTGGCGGCAGCCAGCTGATCAGGGAGGCACACAGCTGGACGGGCCGAGGGCCGGGGCCGATGGGCAGAGCCACAGCAAAGAGGTCCAGGTCTTTAGAAGGTCGTCAGCCTTCTGGACTCATGGTCATAGAAAGAGAAGGACTTCGTTATGTTTACAAATCCTTTGAGAACTGTGGTGACAGAGCCCCTCCCTCAGGCTGGACACTGGACACACGGTGCCTGCATCTCCCTCCTGCCCCTGTTCCTGCTGTGGGCGTGGGCCCCCATCAGAGCTCGGTGGGCCGTTCCCTCTGCTCCTGGGCCTGGGGCCCCCAACAGGTCCTCAGCCAGCCCTGCCCTGGGGCGGAGCCCATGGCTGCCAGCTCCCCGTCCAGGGGGCCCAGTCCGTGGGGCCGTGGCCAGTGCTCTGTCATCAGCTTTCACCTCACAGCAGGGCACTTCTCAGCTGTCCAGCCTGGACAGTGTGGGGCAGTACCCTGTCAGCTCGGGCCGCCGTGTGCCCTGCTGCCCACCTGCTGCCGTGCAGCCGCCGTGGCTGGAAAGCCCGCCCCTCCCAGCCAAGCCCTGCGGCCTGGGAGGAGGGACGGGGTGCTTCCCGGTGAGCAGTGGGCAGCCGTGTCCTGCCTGCAGGGGTCGAGGCAGGGTCATCCTGTGAGCCTCAGCACTCACCCCGGTGGCCTTGCCCTCCCACTCTGTCCCCTCAGGCTGTGTGTGTGTGTCTATCTGTCTGTCTGTCCTGGCTCCTCCCGCCAACAGGCCCTCTTGGGTTCCTGTCCCTTCCCACATGGACTCTGGGGCTGTGAGTCAACTCCCTTGGCCCTGAGGGCTCTGGCTCCTGTTCTCCTTCGTCAGGGCTGGCAGCAAGGAGCCCTGATGTCACTGGGGGAAGCTGGCCTCCCTGGCCCCAGGGATCGGCACCCACACAGGCGTGTCCTGTCGCTGGCCTGACCACCGCCTGCCCACAGGTGCCGGAGATTGTGAGCGTGCTGCGCTCCAAGCTGCAGGAGACCCGAGAGGAGCACGTCCTACAGGCCGCACAGCACAGCGTGTTTGTCCTGGCCACCCACCACCACGCCGCTGTGGTGTCCAGTCTTCTGGGCAGCCCCCTGCCCTTTGACAGGTACCTGGTGCCCACCCACCTGCAGGGATGGATGGGGCTCCATGCTCTGGTGTCCCCCCGCCTGACCAGGTATTCATGGGCCCCCTAATCCTGTGTGTGGGAGCCTGGAGGCCCTGGCACTGGGCCGGGTGGAGATGGCTCACTCTCACGGGCAGTGCTGGCCAGTTCTCTGGGGCTGGTGCTCTGCCGGGCCTCCATCCACCCTCATCCATTAGCAGGACCCTGAGCCAAGAAGGGTCTCCATCTGCCACGGACACCCCTGGCTCCCGAGCTCCCGTCCTTGGGTTCTCAGGGCAGGGCATGTCCACACCCGTGCCTGTGCCGGGCCTTGTGGGTCACCACAGTCCCTGGGGCCCTTGCTCCTCCACTGAGGCCTCCAGGCGGCCTTTGCTCCTCTCCCAGTGCCTCCAAAGCTCAGGGCCCGCTGGGCATGCCTTTCTTTAGGTCCACGTGGTGGGTGGAGGTGGCACCCGTGATCTGGAGATCCCCGTGCCAGGGGACAGGGAGGCCTCGCATCCTTTCCTGTGGCCGCGGCCCGAAGCACCTACGCCTGCACCTGCCCCAGATTGGGGCTCCTACGGCCTGCTTGGCTCTTGCTCAGATGCGGGCACCGCTCCCCAGACGTGGTGGTCCCGTTTGCTACTGCCCCTCCTGCCATCACTGTCGGCCTTTATCCCCTTGCGCTCTAGGGGTGTCCCTGTCCCAGAGTAAACCGCACTTGATTGCTGATATGGTTGGTATTAAACCAACTGCCTATTTTTCTTCCCTCAATCTTTTTTATTTTCCTTACTGTCTTTTTTAGATTGACAGGGTCTTGTTACATTTTCACTTTTCACTCAAGTTAGTTTGGAAGTTGCACTCCTGTGCGTCTGGACTGCGTTTACTCAGCTGTCCCTCTCCCCGGCGATTGCCGAGTTTGGAGCTCGAGCTTGGCACATGCTTCCTTTTAGTTTGAGTAAGAGGACGTGTCCTTTCTGGCTCCTGTGAGCCCAGCTGGAGCTGAGGCCGAGGGATGAGCACTGGGTGTCCCTTGTTGATGGCACTCTGTACCTTCTGGCAGAGAGGGGTCTGAGGCTTTCTGTTCGCGGTCCTGCCAGGGGGCTCCCTGGCTCCTTGAGCCTGTGAGTGAGTGTCGTCAGCTCTCCCGATTTTCAGCCTGTCTTCTTCAGACACCGTCTCCCCTCTGCTTGTGAGACGCCACTCAAATGTGCGCTCACTCCCACCGCCCTGCCCCCGACACCTCTGCTTCTGAATGAACATCCAATGACCCTTCCCTACGGGGTTCTGGGCAACTTCCTCCACTGTCTTCCAGTTCACCATTTCTCTCTCCTGCTGTGTCCAGGCTGATGCTGAGTACGTCACCAAGCACAGCACTGCATGTCTCATTTCTCCAGGGCTGTTGGTTCGCTTCCAGATGCACCCCATGTTTAGTTCCTGGTTCTGAAGTCTGTCACTTTTCCCTGTAAACGTGCCCCACAGCCGCACCCTGTGTGAATGCTGGGGCTGGGGCTGCTCGGGCCTCCTGCAGCCTCCGCCTGACCTCACCTGCATGCCTCTTTGGTCACATGCTGCTCTTTGCTCAGGAAAAGTGACCCGAGCAGGTGTCCTCGGGGCTGGGGTGACAGTGTCTCCTCTAGGGAACCCAGTGTCTGCTTCTGGCAGCTCCAGGGGACACCTCCCCACCACTGGGTCTCTGCTCACCATCAGGCTGCCTGGTTAGGCCCCTGGGTTGGAGGAAGGGGTCAGTCAGGGCCTGGAGTCAGGGTGCTGTTTGTAGCCTGGCTGGAGCCGAGGCCGGTGGGCATGCCAGGGCTGTGGTGCTGGGGCCGGCAGAGGCCTCAGAGGGGTCGTTCTTCTGCCCCTCCAGCCACACCTGCACCCTGTGGCGAGCACTGGCCTTGGAGCCCGGCCTCACCGCACAGGTCCTGGGGCTGCTCCTGGAGAAGATAAGCAGGGACGTCCCATTCAAGGAGAGCCGGGCCTTCCTGCTGAGTAGCACGCCGGACCGCGTGGCCACCCTGCTGCCCCTCGCAGTGAGTGGGGGCTGGGCCGGCACACACTGCCCCCTCTGCCCTCCCTCTTGGGCCCAGGAGGGGATGAGGGGCCACGTGGCCACTGCCAGTGGGCCCCATGGGGAGCCTGGGTTGCGCCTTGCTGGCACCTGGCAGCTGATGGGAACCCTGGAGCCAGTGAGCTGTGAGCCCAGGCTCATAAAGTCCCCGCAGGTGTAGGCCCCCAAGGGAGCCCACTCTATTTCATCCTACGGGGAAAAAAATAAACCCAGCTTGGCAGCGTTTCCACAGTGAAGCAGCTGCAAGAATTTCCTCCTCCTGCTGAGGAGCCGAGAGCAGATGCTGGGATCCAGTCCCCAAGGCGGCCACACTACCCTGGGCCTGCCTTCTGCCCTGCGGGCCAAGCTGGACAGGGCTGGGCTCCTCGTCCCACCCCCATGGCCACCCCTCACAGGGCCCAAGACCTCAGGGTACATGGAGTGCCTGCAAAGAAAGAGGGGTTGCGGGCTGGTTTTTGTCTCGGGCGCAAGGTCCAGCGTTCGCTGAGCCTACCCTGAGGGTAGGGGCGAAGGCTGAGGGGGCCCGTCTGCAGGCCACCTGTGCGCTGCACGAGGTCGCATCTGCCCCGGCATCCGGGCCAGCGGTGCTGGAGCTCTACCCCCAGCTGTTTGCGGCACTGCTGCTGCGGGTCAGCTGCACCATGGGTGTCCAGCCACCCCGGCACCTGCAGGCCAAGGAGAGGAGGAGCGCCAGCTCAGGCCTGGCCTCGCGGAGCCTTGAGCCTTGCAGGTGAGTGGGCCTGGCCCGGCCCCCTCAGGCCGTGACTGTTGGCTGCTGGAAGTAGCTTCCCAGGGGTAGGGGGCGGGGGGCCGGGCGCCAGATGACCCCAAGCTGCGCCTTCCCTGGGGAGTGCTTGGGGTTGGCAGGTTACAAGCGGGCCCACCCTGAGTGCAGCCTGCGTCCTCAGCCACACTGCCTGGGCCCCCACCTGCAGTTGGCTGGGCTCTGGCCCCCGCCCTGTAGGGGCACAGCTGCCACAGGGGTGAGGCCCTGCTGGCTTGGTGCCACTGGCTGTGCCCGCACCTTCCCCTTGGCACTCAGTCGTGGGGCCTGAGGACAGGCTGGGGCCCCTTCAGCTCCTGCAAGAGCAGAGGGTCCACAGTGCTACCCAGGGAGAGGGGCCCTGCTGGCAGGGAACAGGCTGGGGGGCCCAGGGCATGTCTTCTAAGAGCACAAGCGGGTGTGTGTGCACGCGCGTGCAAGGAGCAGAGCTGCGCCCTGCCAGCGCCAGCCAAGCCTGCGCCCACGTCTCTGCAGCTCTGCGGTGGACGCGCTGCAGGCCGTGCTTGTCCGTGGTGGCAACGAGGACGTGGTGCAGCACATGGAACTGAACGGGGGCTGGCAGCTGCTCAAGACCTCAGCTGGGCACGAGGAGGGCGTCACCCAGCTGGCCAGGTGAACGGGCAGTGCGTGGGGCGGCGGGGAGTCCATGAGGGCAGCCGAGTTCTGTAGGTGCCGCGGACTGGGCGCAGGGAGAAGGCCTCTGAGGGGGGCGTGTCTGAGCATAGGATGTGCGGGGGCAGCTGGGGGGAGGAGCTAGCAGGCCAGAGGTGCCGGGTGGGAGGCAGGCATGCTCCCCAGGCCCCTGGGACTGGTGTGCTCGGGGCAGCCTGAGTCCCTAGCCCCTGCCCGCGTGCCTTCTTCCCAGTGCCATGGCAAAGTTTGCGGGTCCCCGGCTTCCCCTGGTGATGAAGGTGCTCTTCGCCACACAGAGCAGCGTGTATGAGGTCCAGAGGGTCACCTCCACAGCCTTCCTGGCTGAGGTAGGAGCACTTGCTTTGGACCATGAGTTGGGGTTGGGGAGGGGCAGTGTGAAGTCCCCCCCCACAGGGCAGGCCTGGGTGGGGTGGGGGAGCCACATTGAAAACCCACCCCAGACCAAGGCAGTCAGGGCCAAGGAGGGTATGGGGTCAGGAGTCAGGGGAGGTTGAGGAAAGGCTAGGAGCCCGGCTTGGCCTGCTGGCCTCAGCCATGACCCCTCAGTGACCGGGGACCAGTGCTGCCCAGTGCATTTGGGGGGGGGGGGGTCAGCACGCCTCTGCCCCCAGCTGCTCAGCAGCAACGTGGTGAACGACCTGATGCTCCTGGAGTCGCTGCTGGACAACCTGACAGCACGGCAGAAGGACATGAGTGCCCGCGTGCGGAGGTTGGTGCTCCGTGGGCTGGCCAACGTGGCCTCGGGCTCCCCAGAGAAGGTGAGCCACTGGGTAGACCCAGTGGGCACGGGCACGAAAGTGGTGCTCAGAGGGTGGGCAGCTGGGCGTGGCATGGCCTGGGCACACAGGTATGTGTGGCCTCCCCAGGTACAGACCCACGGCCCCCAACTCCTGACAGCCATGATCAGTGGGCTGGATGATGGGGACGACCCACACAGCCTGGTGGCGCTGGAGGCCATGGTGGGCCTGGCAAGGCTGCTGGACCTAGTGGACGCCTGGGACCTGCGCGCGGTGCTGCTGCACATTGCTGTCCGCATTCGGCCCTTCTTCGACAGCGTAGGCCCCCCATCCCTGGCCATTGCAGCCTGGCCCACTCTGTCCCTTGCTCCCCCTTCACTGCCCTGGGGTCACCTGGGAAGCTGGGCTGGGAGGACCACGTGACACCCGCTGTTGCCCAGGAAAGGATGGAGTTCCGCTCGGCGTCCATCCGCCTCTTTGGGCACCTCAACAAGGCCTGCCGTGGGGACTGCGAGGATGTCTTCCTGGAGCAGGTTGTGGGCGGTCTGGCACCCCTTCTGTTGCACCTGCAGGACCCCCAGGCCCCCGTGGTCGCGGTGAGCAGCGCGGGGGATGGGCAGGCCTGGCCAGCTCAGGGACTTGGGGCTCAGCATGTGCCCTGCAGGCCTGCAGGTTCGCCTTGCGCATGTGCGGCCCCAACCTGGAGTGTGAGGAGCTGGCAGCCGTCTTCCAGAAGCACCTGCAGGAAGGCCACGGCCTGCACTTTGGAGAGTTCCTCAACACCACCTGCAAGCACCTGGTGAGGGGCGGGGCCGGGCGGCGGGGCGGGGCCGGGCGGGGTGCGGAGCGCGAGCGGGGCCTGCCTGACCGCCTCTCTGCAGATGCGCCACTTCCCCGACTTGCTGGGCCGCTTGCTGAGCACCAGTCTGTTCTACTTCAAGAGCAGCTGGGAGGACGTCCGTGCTGCCGCCCCCATGCTCACAGGTGAAGCTGCCCCGGGCACCCCACCCCTCCCACGGACCTGGCCCCTGACATCAGTACCCCCACTGGCCCCTGACTACGGCCCCACCCCCACAGGGTTCTTGGTGCTGCACGTGGAGGCTGAGCAGCGGCCGCAGGTGGACCTGGAGCAGCTTCTCGCGGGTGAGCCCCAGTCCTGCCAACCCCGCCCCACACAGCCAGGAGCCCAGAGGGCCCCCCGCCCCCCCAACACGCTGGGCTGCGCTGACCCTGTGGGCACCAGGGGGGACTAAGTGATTTTCCTGGATTTCAAGGATTTTTTCCCTGTCACTGGTGACCTCATCGTCTCTAGTAATTCACGGAAACTTCTTAACTGTTCCAAAAGAGCTTAAAAAACACTAAAAAAGGAAAAACTATCTTTCCGTTGGCTCCTGAGCCCTCCCGGCAGAGGCCTGTCTTAGGAGGGCGGTGGGCGGGCGGCCCCACGCACAGGGTGGGGTGTCAGCCTCGGGGTCCTGGCCCCCAGGCTCCGTGAGCCCGGAAGGGGGGGTCAGCCTCAGTCGCAGCTGTTAGCGGGGTGTGGGCGGAATCTTGGGCTCAGTCAGTTCTCCAAGGGCTGTGGCAGAGCCCCCAGCAGTGGCTCCTTGTCCCCCAGCCCTCCAGCTGCTGCTCAAGGACCCAGCCCCCCAGGTGCGTGCTAAGGCTGCGGAGACTCTGGGCCGCCTGGTGAAGTTCGCCTGAGGCTGCCCCAACACCCAATACCGCCTGGCCGGCCTGAGGGTCCAAGACGAGTCCCTAAGGAGTCCCCTGCCCACAGGCAGAGCGGGAAGGCCTTGCGCCCACACAGCAAGAGTGGTCAGTCGCCGACGTGTCTTCCCAATAAAGCCATTTGCTGCTCAGCAGGTGACGTGGTGATGTGACCTGTCTTGTGCGCAGGCCAGCAGCCCCCTCCCCGTTAGGAAGCTGACTCAAGAAGGTTACCCAGCAGGAGAAATTTTTGTATTGTGCACACCCCCAATGCCCCGCCCCGGAGGCAGGGCGTCTAAGTGAAGAGGCGGAGAGTGCCGTCAGCCCCAGAGGAGAAGACCCAAGGTTGGGTGGGGTGGAAGGCCACATCCAGCACCCCCAGGTCTCTGGTCAGGGTGTGCCCCTTGAGCACCTTCACGGGCACCAGCAGCGGGTTCTGCAGCAGGTCGCTGTGGGGGAGGGAGAGACTCAGGACGTGGGCGGAACCGTCCCCACGGGGCACGGGCAGGCGGGGGCACTGGCACTCACTTGTACACCATCCCGTGGCAGACGATGACACTGCCGTCATCAGAGCCAGACGCGAAGAGCGGGTACCGGGGGTGGAAAGCCACGGCCCGGAGGGCCTTCTTGTGATGCCTGGAGTTGGGGGAACCAGGCTCAGTGAGGCAGGCGTCGGGGCAGGAAGTGACCGGTCGCCCACCAGCATCTCACCTTAGCACTCTGTACGGCTTGGTGGAGAGATCCATGTCAAACCACACGAGCTTGCTGTCATAGCTGCCGCAGATGACGTTGTCACCTGGGGGCAGATTCGGTGGTGGGGATTTGGTGGCCCTCCAAGTGCCACCCCCCCACCAGGACACCCCCTTACCTGCTGGGTGCACCGCCAGGCTAGACACCCACTTGCAGTTGGGCATCAGCTTTTTGGTGAGCTCCTGGCGCAGCAGGTGGTAAAGGCGGACGCAGCGCTGGGAAGCCACGAGCAGGAAGGGCCGCGTCGGGTGGAAGGCTACACCCTGCACCTGGCCATGGCTGCGGCGGAAGGGGCTCTGGCTGCGGCGCCGGCTCAGCTGGTGGATCAGCACCTGGGTGTGGCCCGGAGTGGCCAGCACGACGGCCAGGTAGTCCCCGCGGCCGTGCCAGGTCACCTGCGTCACTGGCTACAGGGAGATGAGGTTGGGTTAGATGCGGCCCCTCCTCAGGGCCCCGCCCTCCGCCTGGGGTGGGCCCCGCCCACCTTCCCGTGGTGGATGCGTAGGCGCAGGCTGCCCTGGCGCTCCTCCTCGGAGGCTTCCAGCCAGTACGCGGGCTGTGAGGCGGCCTCCAAGGGTGGGGTGAAGGCGCTCAGCAGTTGGTCCGTGCTGCCCACCACCAGCCGGTCCCCCAAGGCCGGGTTCAGCAGCAGCACTGTGTCCTCCCTGCAGTCAGAGCCAGATGGAGATTCTCAGACATGGATCTGTCCCCCCACCCCCACCCCGGGCACCCCGGGCCTCACTCACACTGCCACGGCCACCAGGCAGATGGTGGGGTGAGGGTTCCAGGCGACACTCTTCACCACACCGCCCACGGGCACGGTCCTCATGCAGCGGGCAGTGGCAACCTCCCAGAGTCGCACCGAGCCATCATCTGAACCTGGACACGCAAACAGGCCCTCAGTACCTGGCTCTCCAGGCCAGCCCACCCCGCCCCCACCGCGGAGCTGCCCCACCCGCACCTACCTGATGCCAACCACTGGCCATCTGGGGAGACGCTGAGGCAGCGGACAAGATCATTATGGCCCCTGTAGACCTGCAGAGAAAGGGCAAGGCGGTTAAGGCCGGACACTCAAGAGGCCTTTGCTCCCCACCACCCGCCCTGTCTGCTCACCAAGGCTTGGCACGTGGGGAAAGGCTGCAGGTCCCGTGGCCGGGGCAGCTTGGGGATGAGGTCTTCAGGGTCCACATTCACCTGAGAAGAGGACACAGGGTCAGCTGCGTCCATCTCCACTCCCCGCCCCTGCCTGGCACCACAGCCTACCCTCATCTTGCGCTGCCGTGGGCACAGGTAGAGGTCCAGGCAACGCTCGAAGCGCTCCTGGATGAAGCGGCCGTAGGCAGGCACGGCCCGCAGGCTCGGGAACCGGCGCGGCAAGAAGCCGAGCTTCCTCTCATCAGGCTCCTGCTGCTCCCAGGCCAGGCGCTGTGGAGGCGGGAGTGAGCCAGGAGTCAGGGCCAGGCCAGGGGCCAGCCCAGACTCCACTATGCACCAGGCCCACCTCCTCCTCGCTGGGCAGGTACTCGGGAGGCGGGTTGTAGGACTCTGAGTGGCCGGGCAGAGCCAGCTTGGGAGCAGGAACGTGCATCTTATGGCGACCCAGCACCGCATTGGGATCCTCCTGGGCCCACAGGTCATAGAAGCTGGGAGTGTGGTCCCGAGGCCGGCGAGGCTGGATCCATCCCATCTTGATGGCGTGCACCATGCGGGAGACCTGCAGAGACGGCAGGTGAGGGGGGCGGGGGCAGGGCAGGCAGGCGCGCCCCAGGGATGGCCCACACCCACCTTCTCCTTCTCCACCAGGGAAGGGATGAAGCTGCGCTTGTCTGCAGGCCGGTTGGTCACTGGGTGGATCATTAGGTCCCCACTGAAGAAGTCTACAGCTGGCTGGGGGGCAAGCAGAGGAGGGTGGGCCTGGGCCCTGCAGGTGCCCCAACCCCAGGGCCAGCAGCTGCTGCCTACCTCGTAGGGATCGAAGCTCACGTCCCCAAACTGGCCCCTCTGCAGCCGCTGCACCAGGGCCACCTGCTCATCCGTCAGCTGCACCCTGTGTCCCGTCATCTGGTCCCGCACCGTGCGCCTGGGGGGACCCAGTCAGAGCCCAGGCCCCGGCCCCGCCCCGCAGGCCTGCCCAGCCCATAGGCTCCGCCCCGCGCCCACCCACCAGTAGTCAGGGTCGTCCATCTTGTCCAGAAACTGGTCCAGCTCGTCCCGGGTGCGCAGGGGCTTATAGATGCGCCGGCCGTCCAGGTCGTAGCCCACATGGGGGAAGTCATCGTACCACTCCAAGGGCACATTGCCCACCGTGTTCCGGATGTCCTGGGGCAGGAGGCCCGCGAGTCAGCAGCAGACACCCATCGTGCCCACCCCTCCCTCCAAGCCCCTCATAAGACACAGGCCAGGAAAGGGAAAGGCAGAGCAAAGAGTCTGGCCTCCAGGCTGCAGAAGCAGCACCCAGGCACCCTGACTCTTAGCTTCTCCCTGGGGTGTGACGTGGCAGGGCGGCCAGCACTGTCCCCCCCACCCCCCAGACCCTCAGAGGCGCCGGAGCTGTACCTTCACATTTTCCACTGAAGTGGTGCCAACCCCAGAGCCTCCCCCCTGGATTCCTTGGCCAGGGCTCTGGGCAGCCACAGGCAAGGGTGACCTCATCGCCCGTGGGCTCCCTCCCCTGGCGGGGGCCTTAGGCAAAACTGGGTAGCCACAGGCAGGGACTCAGGGAAGACCCCACCAGCCCACTCCAAGAGGAGACAAAGTCCACTGCACTGAGCCCAGCACACTTTCAGGGGCTCCCCCAGCCTCCCAGCCCTGCCCCCACCCCACCCTTAGTGGGCAGAGCAGTCACATTCCTGGACACACATTCCTGGTCGAGGCCCCTGCCAGCCGCCACCCTCCCTCCACCCAGTGCGGAGACTGCTGCCCAGGCGGCCGCTTCCTGCAACAGTAGCCACAGAAGGAGGGGCCCAGATGAGACTGCATGGCAGGCAACCTGGGAACCCCGACAGGGACAGGACCCTCTGGCCGTGGCCCCTCTGCACCTGCCCAGCCCCCAGCCTGCTGACCTGAGTCCTCCCTGCTCACCCTCCTCCAGGTGTGCTCAGGTCCCTGCCCACTGCTGGGAATGCCCGTCCTCCTGTGCTCCCCAAGTCCACACAGCCAGCCCTGGACTGGACAGATGTGGGGGGCCCAGAGAAGACCCATGGGACATTCAGCAGGGGAACAGGGTGCGGGTGGGGGGTTCTCCAGGCAGGAGTGCAGACAGGAGCCAGACCTGTAGGGTGGTGCCAGGAGGGGCAGGTGCAAGAAAGACAGGCTGTGCCGTCAGGTGAGTCCCACGAAAACCTGAGGGGGCAGTTGAGGGGGCCGGGGCTGGACTCCAGCCCCTCAGAGCGCCTCTGTGCCCTCTTTTGGGCACAGAAGGCCCAAGTGTACATGAGAGGGAGAGACAGACAGGGTGTGGCCAGGCACTGGGGCCAGGGCATCTGGGTTAAGGCGGTCATGCCAAGTGGGAAGGCTGGGGTCACGGGTCCTGCTTGACCCTCCCTCCCGCCCCCTGCTAAGAGGGAGGAGGGGAGGCAGCAGCGCCCCGCACCCCCTGGAGGGGCGTCCAGTCTCCCCACCCCACAAAGACAGCAGGATGCTCCAGGCCCCTTCACCATGGCGCGAGAAGGCAGAGGGACGGAGGGCCCCTGCTCCAAGCGGCCTCCAGGGGCTGGGAGGCGGGGAGGAGGGCGGGCCGGCGCGGGGGAGGGGCCGCCGCGGCTATAAAGGCTCGGCCCGCGGCCCCGCTCCAGCCCGGGACGCACACGTGCGCTCTGCGCCGCAGCCGCCACCGCGGGAGCCCGGAGACCCGCGTGCCCCTGGCCCGGGCGGCAGTGGCGGCGGCATGTGCGGCGCGCGACGGAGCTGACGGCGGCCGCCGGCCCCAGGTCCTTCGCAATGCTGCGTTCGGCGCCGCCCGGCCGCTACCTGTACCCTGAAGTGAGCCCGATGTCGGAGGACGAGGACCGAGGCAGCGAGAGCTCGGGTTCAGACGAGAAACCCTGCCGCGTGCACGCGGCGCGCTGTGGCCTCCAGGGCGCCCGGACGCCCCCACCCCCCGCCCGGGACGGGGAGAACGCCCAGCCCAAACAGATCTGCACCTTCTGCCTCAGCAACCAGAGAAAGTTGGTGAGTGTTGCCCACGGGGTGTCCACGGAAAGGGAGGCTAGGAGGATGGGATGGCCCCCACCTCCAAACCACCCCTGCAGCCCACACCTGCCAGGCAGAGAGGGCGGGGCCAGAAGCAGGCAGAGCCCCGAGCAGCGCCTGTGACACCCGCAGCCCCAGGTCCAGGGAGAGAGAAGATGAGGAGGGCCGGGCCAGAGCCGGTGGGTCCCCAGGACACAGGCTCCTGTGGGGACAGAGAGGAAAGAGACCAAGACAGGACCCGCACCAATGGGGAAGAAGCTAGGGGACCACACCAGGGTTGATCAAGCAACTCTGGCCACCCAACCTGCCATCAGGGGAAGGGGACTTGGAGGCAGTGAGGCAATCCCGCTGGGGTCCACTTGCTCTACCAGTGGCCTAAGGCTTACTGGGCACCTGCCTGCCCTCCCTGGACCCGGCTGCCCACTCAGACGCCACTGTGGCTGTGGGATCTGCTGGCAGGAGACTCGGGGGCTAGGGGAGAGGGCCCTGCTGCGGGAGACGCTGGCCGGCTCTGATTTACGGCGCCTGCTGCGCATGGTGGCACCGGAAGAGCAGGGTGAGCAGGGAGAAAATACGGCTCGGCTCTCCCCAATCCCCATTTCCTCTCCAGACAGCACGCGTGAGCTCCTGGGGCCTGAACATCTGGGAGATTTAATTTTACAATTTCGGCTGTGCAGCAGCGCACTCTCCTCCCCAAACTGCTCGGGGAAGCCGGAGTGAGCGTGGAAGGGGGTTGCTTTCAGCGCACCCCGTGGGGAAGTCCGGAGGCGCAGGCTGGCGCTGGCCTCCGCTTGGGCCCTGACACTGCCCTCCCCTCCGCAGAGCAAGGACCGAGACAGAAAGACGGCGATCCGGAGTTAGAGGCGATGTCGGGCCATCCGCAGAGAGCCCCAGACCTGACTCAGGCACAGGCCTCACTGAGGGCGCCCCCAGGCCCTCCCGGCCCCAGCTGCGAGTGGGGCCGATGGACAGACAGGCGGCAGGATGCGCGGCCGCCCCAGCACTTGCCTGGCCCCACTGGAGCTTTCCGTGCGGGCTCGCTACCTGGTTCTCCTCTGGCTACTATGTGCTATCATTCTGTGTCTTTGATATGATAATATAAAGTCTGGAAATTTTGTATAATTAAAAACAAAACAGTATCTTCCAAACGCAGATACACGCTGTCCTCTGGAGCGGCCAGAACCTGTCCTGAGCAGAGCCCAAGCCCACACTCCCACCCTCAGGGCTGTGGTCTGTTCACGTCCTGACCACCCTGGGCCAAGGCCCCTGGTTCCTAGGGAAAGGCCCCACTTTGCAGGGCTCAGGGTCAGCCCCTGCTGCCAGGGAACTGCGGCATGGGGTCTGGAGACCACTGAGAGAGGGCGAGGAAAGACAACAGCCCCCCGCACTTGGCAAGGGACAGGCTGAAGCCAGGGAGCACTCCCACCCCACCCCTGCTCCAAGGGCCACCAGGGGTCTCGGCGCCCTGAGACAGAGGGCAGTGCGTGCATTGTGCCATGTGCTGGTCTCCTGGGCCACGGCGCCTCAGCCCCTGCCCGCAGAGCCCCAGGAAGTGGGGGGGGGGGGCACTGTCTGGCAGAAGGAGCCCCCCAGGCTGTGCAGGCCTGAGGGTATGAACCAGGTGCCTGTGTGTACTCCAGGTGCCCGCCCTGGCCCCAGAAGCCCTGCTCACAACAGAAGACCCCGGCCGCCCACCCAGCTAACCCGAAGGCCCCACCTGCCCGTAAGGAGGGCAGTTCAGGCCTCTCAGAGCTGAGCACAGCTGGCTAACCATTAAAGTCTTGCAGGTAACAATTACGACTTAGTGGCGTGAGCTCACAGGCACAGCAGAGAAGCAAGCTGGGGGCAGCGCCGTGTGGCAACCCCCCCCAGGCTGGCCAGCAGCCTGACTTCCGCCAGCCGGGCTGAGAGTGCCAGGGGCCAACCCCGGGCCCCAGGAGAGGCCAGGTGCCGAGGCCCACGTGGGCACCCCAACAGGGCAGGCCCAGAGCTGCCCCCTCCTCTTAACAGACAGGCTCCAGAGGACCAAGAAGCAGGAAGCAGTGGTGTAATTTTGGAGGAAATTCTCAAAGCCAGAGCCATTAAGGGTTGGGGGGGGGGCGGGGGCTGTGTCCAATCTGATAGAAATATAACAGGATAAAAAGTCACAACGGCAGGTTCCACTCAGAGAGAAACCCAACCCCAAATTTCCTCTCCTTAATCCTGCAGGAGCCTACAGCTGGCCGGCAGGAGGGGGAGAGGGCACACTCGGTCACTGCAGAAGCCCCCCGCCCCCGCCTGCCTAGAGAGCCAGGACTCTCAGGCAGAACGTGGGGGTCCTGCTAAGGGCTGAGAAAGATACCTCTTCTGCTCCTGGGCACTGAAGACACTTGGAGAACCGACTTGGGAAGGGCGCCCCAGAGGGCCTCCAAGCTTGATGCCCCTGCTCCACTGGGCACCAGCAGTCCTATGGGGACAATCTGGGGCCTGCCTGCGCTCAACCACCCACCTCACCCACGTATACCTGGGCCGGGTGAGCCCAGACCCCCTCACAGATCCCCCCACAGACGAGACAGGTGCCCACCGCACAGCCAGAGTTGCCAGACCGGTGCTGGGCAGAGGGGGGAGGGGTGGGAAGCATGCCCCACACAGAGGTGGGGGTGGGCACGGGGGACTCCCCCCAGAGCACAAGGACAGGCAGGGTGAGGCTGGAAGGTGTCTCGGGGGTGCCAAGTCAGTAGGAGAGGACAGGCCGCTGGGACGGTCCCCAAGGACAGCAGGTCCTGGCACAGGACGTGCGGCCAGGCCCTCAGCTGCCGGGCCTAGGACTCGACAGCGGCTGCAGCTTGGCCAGCCTCAGGCCTGGGCAGTGGGCCCGGTCGCTCCCTGAGCTGCACCGGTAGCAGCAGAGGCCGAGGGCCTGGCCCGCCAGCCAGCAGGAGAGGAGGGGCGGGGGCAGGGAGGAGCACACCGTCACCCTCCGCCGCTCCAGAAATTCAAACCAGACTGGGGGTGGTGGGCCGGCCGAGTCCCAGCGGGCGCGAGTCCACTCAGCCATCCACTGCAGCAGCCGGGCCCCACTCCCTGCCCAGGACCCGGCGCCCCACGCGTGCCCCACGCGTGCCCCGTGCAGCAGCGGGAAAAGAGGGCATGGCCCGCACCCTGGGCCAGCAGCTGCTCCTGAGGCCAAGCAGGCCTGGAAACGCGCCGATGGCCATCAGAGCCAAGCTGTCAGCTCCCTGTCCCCAGCCCGGGGAACGAGCTGCTGGCGGCACCACGTGACCCATCACCAGGCCGCCTGCCCTGGACCGGCCCACCCCCACCCTGCACAGCACCTGCGGCTGCCAGGAAGCACATGTGACCCCACGGGGGCCGCGCCCGCCGACCCCTCCAGGGCCCAGACACCCCAGCCCACACTCTCCGGGGAGTGGGGAGGGGGGACACGGACGCGCATCCGTGCGGTGCCCCGCCCCCGGCAGCTCTGGACACCCGCGGCCACCGCTGATGTGTCGGCTGGGATTTTTCCGTTCTCGAAGAGCCCCCTCCCCCTCCCCCTCCCCAAAGTGGCTGCAGCTGTCAGGACCGCAGATTGGAACTGCAGGTACGGCGCTGGCCCGCTGCCCGCCTCCCTCCCGTGTCTGTCTGAGGGAGAGGAAGCCGGCCCACCTCTGGAATCCTTCACTCTCTCCTCGTTCGCCTCTCCCACCTGTCCCCCGGGAGCGCGGGGTCAGCCGCCCTCACTCTGGCGCGCTCTTCCCCTTGCCCCGCTCCGATTACAATGCCGGCAGTGTTCCCTCTGCTCCCCCGCCTCCCGTGAAGCGCCCTCTGTGGCGGGGGCGCCCGGCCGCGTGCCCCAGGCCACCTGCTGCCGCTGGACCTCCACAAGGTGCCCACACGAGGAGCCCTGGGCTACAGCCCCAAGGCAGAAGGCGAGGTCCCCAAGGACGAAGCTGGCAAAGCAGCCCGCAGGGCTCGGCTGAGAGGAGCCCGCCCACTGTACCGTGGGGGTGGGGGCGCTGGGAACGCGGACTCGGAGCCCCCCTTCCAAACCTCCCCTGCTGCGTATGATCCTCACAGAAGCACTGCCAGCCAGGCCCGCTGCTGAACCTCTGGACACGTGTGGGCTCCGGGACCCTCCGAACCCACTCCTTGGCCCCTATCAGTGCCTCAGGGCTGCTGAAAGGCAAAGAAGCAAGTCTGCCCCCACCAAGGGTCCTGGGGTGGGGGGAGGCCCCCTGCTCCCTGGGTCCTCAGATACCTAAGACACCCCCACCCCCTCCGTTATCCAGGGAGCGTGGGCGTTCCCACGTGGGGCAGCGGCTCCCAGAAACGCCTTGGGCCGCAGGAGATGGGCACGGCCCCCGCAGAGTGCCAAACGCCCATTCTGAGTCCCACAATGCTGCGGTCACCTCCAAGATCCCACTGGGGGAACTCACCCAGAGCCTCCAGCGCCAGCCCCGCCTATGCACCACTCTGCAGCCAGGCCGTCAACCACCTTTCAGACAGGACTTGCCCCCCCACACACCTGCCTGCCAGCCCCCAGCTCCTGGGGCCATGCCCCCAGCCCGCACGGAGCCCCTGCCTGGGCTCCTGCCGCCCAGGAAACTGGCTCCCGGTGGGCACATGGCAGGCCGGGCCTCTATCGCCCATTTACCCAGGCCAGAGAAGGGTGGGCTCTGAAGGCGCCCCACCCTCACCTGCCCTGCCCCACCCCCCCAGGGGAGCGCCGTCTCCTGACCAGGACCACTGGACCCTGGCGGCTGTTCCTGGAGGGAGGAGGGCACCCCACACACCAGAACACGGCGGGCCTCGCTCAGAGGTGGTGCTTGGCAGAGGGACCCCGGGCACCCCGAGGTTACGGCCACTACACCCAACCCGCAAGGCCACCTGTGAGGTCCCGGGCCCCAGGCCCCAAGCCCCTCTCAAGCGAGGAGGCGGGGAGACCTCGGGGGAGACCGCAGGGGCGGCCGGAGCCCAGTCGCGGGGGTAGAGGTGGCGAGGAAGGCCGGCAGCCCACGAGGCCCAGCCGAGCCGAGAGGCACGCTCTGCACAACAGCTCGAAATCCGAGCCGCCGCCGCGCCGCCAGCAGCGAGTGCACCGAGCGCCGCGCCGGGGCGGGCCCAGCGAGGCTGCTGCCGCTCGGTAGCGGGAAGCCGTCAGCGGCGCCTGCGGGAGAGCGGAGGGGGCCGCCCGCCGCCAGCGATCTCAGCCCGCCGCCCCCCGGCCTCAGTTTCTCCCAGGCTGGAGCCGGGACCGCCTGCGAGGGCCGCCGCACCGGCCCCGGGCGGCAGGATGAGATCACGTCTGTGGGGGAGGGGCGCGGGCGGGTGGGGGCGGGGCTCTCCCACTCACGGCCGCAGGGACCCCCGCCAGGCTGGCGGTTCAAGGTGCTGCCCAGGGTGAGAACTGGGAGGATGGCACCGTCGAGGCCGAGCTAGGACGCAGGACGTGGGTATCCAGCTGAGAAGGGGAACCCTTACTCACCGGCCACCGCCCAGGGCAGGGGACCCCAAAGCTGGGCCCAGCAGAAGCCAACAGTCAGAGCACCTAGAAGCCCCAGGGTCCCCCAGCCCAGGCCTTAAGTTCAGACAAGGCCCGGGGAAGAGGAGACCAGGCACTGCCACCCCTCAGGTCCTCCCCAGGAACACAGCTTGTCTGGACACCCCCGCCCACTGCTGGAGGCTGGCCAGGGCCAGAGTGGGGTCCTGGCACCACGGACCACCTCCAAGGATGCTGCGGAGAAGAGGCTGCCCGACACCCTACGACCGATGTTCTGGGGCTGTGGGCCCTCACAGGTGCCAACCAGAGCCCGGGGTGAGGGTCCCTGCACCCTTCCTGTGCTCTCGCCACTCCAGCCACCCAAGCCTCTTCCTGAAGCCCACCCTGCAGAGACGCCGTGATGGGGTGGGGGGCACTTCTCAGGGAGGAAAGCCTCAGCCAGGCCAGCCTGGCCCTGCCGCCCCCTGGGCCATGGCCGGCTGCACTGGCAGAAGCCAGCTCTTGCTGTCACTCAGGCCCACATATGGGATAGTCATCGCCAGAGGAAGCGGCCCCCCCAGCCCCCGCGGCGGCTCCAGAACGGGGCAGGCCAGAAGGAGCACCTCCCCGCGGGCGGCCCGAAGCCCCTCCCCCGGCCTCTGCACTCCATTTACAATCATCATCGATTTCTCAAAATACCGAATATAAAAAAGTAGCCGACAGGATGTGGCTGCCGACAGCCAGAGCCCCTGGGAGGGGGAGACAGGCCGGGAGCTGTGCTGCATGGCCCCCCTTCACTGAGTGCGCCCGCTGCTCCGGCCAGGAAACCAATTTATTTTGTTTTGTCTCTGTTCTCTGAACGCACAGAGACTGGATCGGGCGGGCGGCCAAGGCTCCTGCAGCCGCTGCCAAAAGAGCGGAGGATGGGGGTAGAAGCCGTGCAGGGGAGGGGGCGCGTGTCTCCCCAGCCGGGACAGCCCCTGACAGGCAGCAGGAAGAGCTGCTAGGGGTGGGGACCGTGGTCTCTGCAGGCCCCGCAGCCCAAGGAGGCTCACACCAGGGCAGGGGGCAGAGACACACCAGTGAGGGGTGGGCAGGGGAGCACCCGTCACCTCCAGCGGGGAGCCCCTGAGCCTCAGACCCCCCAAGAGCCCATGGGCAGCCCTGGGCAGCCAAGTCGCAGCCACCTCTGTCCAGACAGGGCACCCCAGCCTGTCGGCAGGCTTTCCCCGTGAGACGTAAACCGGGAGGACCAGATGCACCCAGGGCCACGGCAGCCGGGCCTCCAGGACACCCAGGAGGAGGGGGCAGAGCACAGACGCCAGCTGGGCCGGGCAGGGCCTGCCCCCCACCCCCACCCCCACCCGGGGGACAGTATAGGCTGGCTGTTGGGGGAGGCCTGTCCACGCCCACCCGGAATGGAAGCAGAGCCCCCACAGAAGATGCGGTGCCCCCCGCCTGCCAGCGGCGCCCCCATGGCCCAGGGCCTGGACACGGGCACGGGGTGGCCGCACTGCGCCCAGCTGCCCTGCCCACGATGACACACACACTCCTGCAGTCATGTGTCCCCGACCCTGAAACTGCTCTTCCAGACAGGCCTGGGGCCACGCCAGGACGCCCACTCGGGCCTCGCGGTGGCCACACAGCCCACCCTGCAAGGGGGCAGCTGTGGCCCAGCCTACCTCCTCGTCGGAGCTGTCCTCCGCATACTCGTCCTCACCCGGCACACTTGCCACCTCCGTCCGTGGGCAGGGGGTCCTGGCCTGGGAAGGGAAGAGAGGGAGGGAGCTTACTTCAGGACCCGGGGCAGGCTGTGGGCCAGGGCACCCTGCCCCTCCTGCCCACACTGGGGCCAAGGTCCCGCGCCACGATCTCTAAGCAGCTCTGACCTGGTCCCACTGCCAGGAAAAGAATATGGACAGCCCCAATCTAAGTGGGTCTCTTGGGGAGGGGGTTTCCACCCAGGATGAGCCTCTGTCAAGGGCCATCACGATATCCAAGCTCAAGGGGAAGACCCCAGAGAGGGGCTGACATCAGGTGAGCCACCCCTGCACCCCTTAACGAAAAAAACAGTTGCAAGTCTCCTGGCTCAAAGGCCCAGCTGAGCCCAGAGTCAGCCTAGGGTCAGAGGACAAAAGCAGGGGTGGCCTCTTGGCAGCAACAGATAAAGGCCGGGGTCACCCCCAACTGGGTCAGTCCATCCAGGGGAGGCCAGGCTCTCAATGTCAGCCACCAGCACAGGGCCACCGCAGCCCAAGGAGGGCACGTGCAGCCCAGCTGGCCGAGGGCCTGGGCAGGTACCCACACCCTCGGAGCGCTGGGAGGACGGCCCCGGGCTGACCCCGCCCACCAGGCCAGTGAGTGGGTGCCACTGGGCATTGACACCCCAACCTGGAAAACAGATCCTCCCCCTGCGGGGTGGGAATCGGGTGTACCGGAACTGAGACTGATGGGGAAAACAGCTCGTATCCGCCCCCCCACCCCCCCCCTCCGGGGGCAGTAAAGCGTCGGGAGCAGGAGCCCCGCTCCCCTGCCCGGGCCAGAGCCAGAAGCCGCCCAGCAGCTTTTCCTCCCGCCCGCCAGCTTCTCCCTCCGTGTGAGGAGGCTGGGAGAGTAAGTTTTTTTCCAGGCCAGGAAAAGGCGAGATTCGGTTTCCACGTCTCTCCCACCCTTGCTCCCCAGGCTGTGCGCTGCGGGAGCCCTGCCCGCTGAAAGTGGGTCAGCCCTGCCGGGCGGGCGGCCTGTGGAGAGGGGGCACAGGGGCCAGACCGCCCCGAGCTCCCCGCCCACCCAGCCCGGAGCATCCAGAGGACATACCTGCCGGGGCCCGGGCCAGGAGGACCCTGCGGGGAGCTGCTGTGAGTCTCCTTGAGACCCTGAGGCCAGCCCGCGGCCACTAGGACCCGCGTGGGCCACCCTGCTCCAGCCGCTCAGGCCCCGGGGGCCCCGCACCACAGGCCGCGGTCCCGAGCCCTGGCAGCGACCACAGGCGTGGCAGCCCCAGTGCTCTCTGAAGCCAGACACGGGCGGGGGCTCAGCAGGGGTGGGGGGTGGGCGACACCCAGCGGTGGGGCTCCGGGCTCCTGCCAGAGCCACCGGCGAGGGCCCTGCTCAGGGCGTGGGTCAGCCTCCCTCCAGAGGCGCCGGCAAGGCCGCCAGCCGCCGCCAGGGGGCAGCCGAGACGCGGGGCCCGGCGGGGCCCGGCGGGGCCCGGCGGGGCCGGGACCAGGCGGACCAAGCACCCGCAGCCCTCCAAAGCCTGGAGACCAGGGGGGCGCCCCAGCGTACCCTTCCTCCTCTTCCTCACACGGTCCAGCCCCAGCCCCCCACATCCTCAGACGCAGGCACCAGATGGTGGGGTCTGCCCAGAGACACACCCGCCCCCAGACAGGCTCAAGGCCATGTGGTGTGGGCGCCCTGATGGGCCCACATGGATGGCTGGGGGCCCGCAAGCGAGACCAGAGAGAAGTGAGGTTCTGAAGGCAAGTGTCTCAGCCAAGGGGGCCAGGCGACCACGACAGGCCTCTCCTGGGAGGGGCTGCAGCCTCGCACGGCTGAGGCGGTTTTTAACTTCGGTTACAAAGGTTTGAGTTTCTTCCGGACGAGAGGCACCATCTGTGTGCTCCCACCCCAATCTGGGGCACCAGCCCCGGGGGAGCAGCCCACAGTGGGGGTCTTAGGCGGGCTGCTCTGCCCACCCCTCTTGCTGCCCTCCGCAACAGGTCCTCACCAGGACTGCTGTGAAGAGCTGCCCTGCTGCACATGAGAGCCCCACACAGATCACCCCACCTGGACCCCTAACGAGGACATGTTAAGCCTCTGAGGGCAGAGCGACCAGAGCTCCAGGGAGCACAGGAGAAGTTGACATGCTTCTGAGCGACTGAGGGGCGCCGTGGGACCCCTCAAACCCACTCATCACGTCACCCCAGACTGACACCATCACTCTCCGCCTGAACTCTCATCACCAGAAACAACAGTCTGATGCTGGGCCAGGCACAGCTCCCCCACGGGGGCCCCCGCTTCAGCCTCTGGGTCGTGCTGGGGTTCTCTGGGACAGGCCCAGAGTGCCCTGCCTCAGGTGGCCTCACTGAGCAACCTGGGAGACATGGCCTGCTCCCTCCCCAGGCACCAGACCCTGCCCACTGCTCCCAGGAGAGCGCCTCCTGCCCAAGGGTTCGCAGTAAGCTCCTAAGCTCCAGGCACAGATAGTTTGGGCAGAATTCGTTGTAAGTTAACTAGGAAAGGGTAATTCCACGTTGGACATCCTTAGTTAGTCTTTTGTTACATTCTCGAATGTGGCAAGCAAACTGAACTAATAGAAATGGGAACTTGTGTGTGAAAAAGTAAGAAAACAAAATAGGAGAAAACCCACACAAGTGTTATAAAAAGGACAAGACCAAACATAAGAAGTAGGAAAAAACAGATCTAAACAAGCATGACCAGGAAAGAATGGCAAAAAGCACCTGATACGCTCCACGACAAGAGCCAGACATCTCTCCTGACAGAGAGGCTGCCCAAAGTGCTCCTGAGCACTGCTGGGGGTGTGGAGCGAGGCCGGGTGCACGGGAGGGGCCAGGCCCAAGGTGGAGATGGGAGGGTGGGGCCGGGTGCAGGAGGGGAGTGGAGCCAGAGGAGGTGAAGTGTGGGGCAGACCGGCAGAGGTCACACCAAAGGTGAGGGTGAGGCTGGGGAGGCTTCCTGCTTCGCATGGCCCACAGCCTGCACACCTGGAACCCACAGAATCAGGGAGCAGGGCTCCCTGGAAGTGACCCTTCCACCATGGAACTCTTATCGGGAGAGACAGAACGGGCTCCCTCCTGTGTCAGCCACTGGCCACCTTTGTCCCCAGCTAAGCATCTGGGCCAGGCACTTTCCACTCCAGGCGGAGGCCTGGAGAAGCACACTCCCAGCTGGGGCCCCTCGCCGGCCTGCACCCAGGTCCTTGACGTCTCCCCAGCATGCCCCTGAACACCACAGGGACTGCCCCCCATCCTTAGCAGGAAAGAGCAGAAGCCTCGAGACAAAGTTGTAGACGATGCGTCCTGCTAAGGGTCGCTGAGGGCGTAGTAAGGGGAGGTGGTGAAACACCAGCCAGGAGCCCCGCTGAGGCGGGGCTGCTCAGGCAGCCCTGCTAAGAACTGGCAGAGAGGGTGGCGGAGGGTGGGGGCAAGTCATTTAAGTCCACACGTCTAAACCACACCAGGGCCGTGGCTATGGCCAGCACCACAGGAGCTTGAGGCTGCCATTCCAGAGTTGGGCTGCTCAGCAGAGGGGCTGGTGGCCACTGGAGCGTCACCGCCATGTGGATCCTGAAGCTGTGGGGTGGGGATGCTCCCTGCCGAGGCTGTGCGACGTCCCACGGCAGGGCCTCGTGACGCAGGGCGGCCACGGGCTGTGACAGGGGAAGGTGGTCAGCAGACCCTCGAGAGGGCCCTGAGCCAACGAAGGGCCCTTGTGGTGGGAAGGTTTCGTAGGCAAGCAGCCCTGCATTGGCTTCAGGACGCGAGGAGCAGGCTAACGCAGAGCACGACAGGGCTGTCACAGAGGCAAGACCATCCAGCCATGAACTGCGGTCACCAGGAGAGTGAAGGGAGCGGATGGGAACACCTCCTCTCCCAAATGGTGCCACTCAAAGATGTCACTGTTTGTCAAGGAGGCGGAGGAGGGGCCCACCTTAGGTCATGAACAGAAATCCCACCTCAGGCTTTGCCCCGAGGAAGCCAGCTAAGTCTAGCAGGCAGCCTGAGACCCAGGAGAAGTACTGTCAGGATCCCTGTGGACAGAGCACAAGATTGTGCTCTAGAGCTCAGGGCTCCTTGGCTCCAAGCAGCGTCTTGCCCCGCCCTCGTGCGCCCAAAGGAGGAGGGAGGTGGCCCTGGGTCCACGGAGCGGGAGGGATCGGTGCTAGGGGCCCTCAGAGAGCCCGATGCCCGGCAGGCGCTATCTTGGCCATGGTCGTCTGGGGTGTGGGGAGCCCTTGGGAGACTCCTGGCTCACCCACCTGCTGCCCAGGGCTCCTGTCCATCCTGCTGCGCTGCTTGCTGGTGCCCGCCCCCTCCTCCTCCAAGGCAGCGTCCTCCTCAGTGCTGTCGCTGCCGGACTCTTCCAGGCCTGAGAACACACTCTCCTCGCTGTCGCTGTCGGTGAGGCCAGGATCACTGCCAAGCATGCGGGTGGGGACCGGCGCGCTGAGGAGAGAGGGCTGCCAGCGGCATGGCACTGATGACCCCAGCCCGCCTGCCAGGCACCGGGCGCTGACCCACAGCCTGTGCAGCCACCCCATGGCCACAGCCCCCAGGCCACAGCCCCCAGCTCCACCGACACCATCCACCCAACCCAGGTCTCCCTCACCACCCACCTCCACCGCCAGCAGGCCTCCTGCCCTTGGAGGAGACATTCAGTCAGAGTCCCACAAGAGGACTTTCCAAGGAGCTCAATTACCATCACATCAACCGCACCAGCCCTCCACCCTCCACGCCCAAAAACCATGCCCTGGAGCTCTGGCTTTCACATCTCCAGAGCTACCAGGCACTGGGGTGGGGTCTGGGACAGGCAGAGGACCACAACCTGAGGTACTTTTCCCGCCAGAAGAGGACTCTATCCAACCAGATTGGGACTGACAGTTTATCAGTAAATTGTAAAGACTGGTTGAAGAGACATAAAAATGATGCAAACTTTACTTAAAACCAAGTGTTTTGGTTCACCAACCCATGGGATAGGACCAGAGCTTCCTCTGAGCAGAGGTCTGCTGACCAGACACCACCCAATCCCTAAGTTCACAAGACCCATGCACTTAGAGAGGGAAAACAAGAACTTAGACTTTCAGCAAGCACTTATTTGAATGGAGAACCCTAGATTTCTCCTTTTTAATAGCTATTAATTCTCTCAGCTACCAGGAAAGCCTGCACTCACCAATTATTTGGCAGCACTCAACTGAACTTCCACAGAAATGACTCTGATACACACTATCTTCAATACTTAGTAAGCTACACAATTACAACAGCAAATAAAAATGGCACAAATGGCTTGGGCACAAACACAAATGGCTGCTGAGGGTACAGAGCTGAGTGATGGAAGCAGGCGAGGCTGGTGCCCAGAATGCCTGCTGGCGGGAGAACAGCAGAACTGGTCAGGGTGAAGGGGCTACCTGACAATCCAGCAACATGGAGTGCCCTCTTAAAGAGGCGCGGCTGGACAAGCTTTGGAGAGCTGATGACACCACAAACCCAGCTGGGATTCCGCTACATAGCAGGAGTGGTTTTGAGCGCAGTTAAAAAAGGATGTGGCCAATACAGCAGGCACTGCCTTCCTATCCTCGTGTCCTTTTACAACGTACCCGACGTATCAGTAACGTACTAACAGGCTCAAGCCTCTTTAACGCAGGAACCACAATTCAAAGCGCTAGGGAGGCCACGCTCACGATGCCAGCCCCTCTTGCTAGCTCGCTCCGGTCCACACTTCCCCAACCACACTGCGGGAGACCCTGCCCAGGACGCCCCACGAGGCCACCGCCAGCAAAGAGCCGGCGACCCGCCTCCTCGCACTCCCGTGCCCTGCTCCCCGGCGCTGGCCCCCCGGAGCCGCCACGTGCGGCCCAGCCGCGCCACCACGTCCCGCTCGCGCACCCCGCGGTCACCTCCTCCAGCTCCAGCTCCGGCTCCAGCTCCGGCGGCCGCTTTCCGGGCCGCGTCACTGTCGCCGCCGCCACCGTGCGCCCCGCGCCCCGCGCGCCAGCCATGCTCCCGGACCGCCCGGACCCGCGCCGCCACTTCCGGCAGCTAACAGACCGCGTGGGCCCCGGGGCGGGGCCCGCGGGGTCAGAGGGCGAGGGGCGGGCCGAAATGGGCTGGGCCGGCACGCGCACGCGCGCTGTGGGGACGCGGGCGGGCGGCGCCGGCGGGAGCGCGCCCGTCGCAAGATGGCGGCGGCCATACCAGGCCTCGGGGCTGTGTGTGCGCAGCGGGCGGCGGCAGCGCGGCCCAGGCAGCAGGCGCGGCGGCTCTGCTAGCCCGGCCCTCGGCTCCTCTTTGCGGTCGCTACCTCCTCCTCTCCCGCCTCGGCCGGTATGGATCTGCCCGTGGGCCCGGGCGCGGCGGGGCCCAGCAACGTCCCGGCCTTCCTGACCAAGCTGTGGACCCTCGTGAGTGACCCGGACACGGACGCGCTCATCTGCTGGAGCCCGGTGAGGGGCTGGGCGCGCCGGCCCGGGGCGTGTGGGGGCGGGCAGCAGGGGGTTCGGGAAAGAGCGTCCGAGGCCTCCCCTCGGTGCGCGCTGCCCGGGTCTGGGCAGGAAGGGCCTCTCCTCCTCGGTCTCTCGCCGAGTAACTGTGAGACGACGGCGGAAGCGCGCCTGGCTTGAGGGCAGCGCCCAGTTTCGTAGCGAGCGTGGTGCCCAGGTGACCCCACAGCTTCTCAGATGAGTTACCAGGGTGGTGGGGTCGGCAGCTGTTGCGAGGAAATGAGGATTTGGCGCAGGTATTGGAGGGCGTTGCTCTACTGGAAAAGGAAAGGGACCGAAAAACAAAGCAAAACGTCATAAAGTTGTGGTGGGTCTCGAACTCATGTCCGGATACCACAGCTGGGTTTCCCCAGAGTCACTTGGTTTTTCGTTCCTTTCGGGGCCTCTATCCACGCTCCTGCTTCCAGTTGCCTGGCAGCAGGCTCTTCTCCATAGTCTGACCCTGCAGGCCGGACAGCTCCCCCGCTTGCAGAGGTAAAGCAGAGACTTAACCTGGAGTTGCAGCTGAGAATCTGCCGTCCGGGCTGTGACGTCGCGTCCGGGGAAGGCCGGAGCTGTAGCTCCGTACGGGCCCGCAGATGGGCGGCCTGGGCCACCCTGGTTTGCGGAATCTCTAGGTGCCTCCGGACACGCTGGCTCTCCCAAACTCTCCTAAGTACTTCTCTTTCAAACTGTTAAGCCTTTAGAAAGGAGGAGCAGTCTGAGCTGAGGCGAGCCCAGAGCGGGAGGCCGGGTCCTCTGGTTCCTGGGCTGTTTGCTGAAGCTCTGCCTCAAAGCAGGTAGAGAGTCAGGATTATACAGCGTCCTTGTAGGGGACACTTGATATTGGTCCCAGTGACACACCTGTGTGCCACGCTCCATCCCTGTTGCCTGCTTCTGTAGCTGTGCACAGTGTTCCCCAAGAGGAGGCTGTGCTTCCTTTCCCACAGCTTGTCCTGTTACCACCATCCCCTTGTTCAAGGCCCTAAGCTTTGCTGACCCAAGGAAATGACCCCAGGTTTCTGTCTTTATTCTTCCTTTCTCTTCTTTTCCCTTCCCTTAAACTCCCAGGAAATACTCTTACCCAGGTTGGGGAGGGCCATCGGAGATCCTTTGGGATACTCTGAGCTTAATCTACTGGGATAATCGCCTCACCTCTTGATCTGCTCAATGTTTCTGCTTAAAGATTGTGCGGCAGCAGGCAAAGCCCTGCCAGCTAGCTCTCTAGGTCCCACTTCCTGTGTTCTGAGCAAGGCCTTAGAGCTGGAAAGCAGGACGGGTCAAGCCTGCCACAGCCTCGCACACAGTGGTTGCACCACCCACCAGCCCTGCTGGAACTTAAACTGGAGGGGGTGGGAGCAGCCGGCTGGAGCCTGTGCATTTGACCCCCCTCCCTTCTGTCCTTAGGCCAGCCAGGATGCGTGGTGCAGGACACAGCGGGCAGGGGGTGGTGCTGCCAGGCGGGATAGCAACTGATCACTGGTTCAGCTGTGGAAGGAAGCCCTTTTCCAGACTGGGCAGGGGCTGGGAAACTGCCTGGCCCTGAGAAAGGAGATCGCCCTCTGCCTGAGGCCTCCACAGTGCCTACACAAGCCCCAGGCCTCTGTCAGAAAGTCTGCTGGGGGAGACTTCTGCGGTCTTGAAATCCAGCGTTGGCTTCCGGAGGCCTTGGAATGTTCTGGTGTCTGTTCTCTTGGTGCCTCCCCTCTGGCTGGAACTCTTCTCCCCTTCTGCCCCAAGGACCCTGTGTTTGGCCCCGGAGACATGGGAAGGGGGGTGGAGTGGGGGGTTCTCCAGCCCTGGCAGCGCTGTGCATCCTCCGCACAGTCTGAGGCCCTGCCCAGAGAGTCGTGTTGGTTTCCCCTTCCCTCCCAGACCCCCGGTCAGTTACCATGCCCGGTGTGGAGCCACCACAGCATAGGCCAGGGCTACCCCTCAGACAGCCCTGCGGGACCGACGGCCCCACAACCTTGGTAAAGAACCTGGTGAGTGTGGCAGCTGCATCCATGGGACGCTCCGTGAATCAGGCCTGTCTGGCCTCAAGACAGGGTTAAGAGTGGTAAGGAGAGTGGGTGCATTGCTGAAGGAGGCTCTTCTTGTTAGGCTGTGGGCACCATGAGGCCCTACGTGCAAGGGCCTCCTTCACCTGGGAGCTGGGTGTCACCAAACCAAGCCCCATCCCAGGTGGCCATTGTGAGCGCCTCAGTCAGAGGGTCACTGTGGAGGCCCTGGCTGGGGAGCAGCCTGCAGTCAGGTCTCCAGCTCTCTGCGGGACTCTTCACGGAGGGCCCCAGTCACACCTGGCCACTCTGAGGTGGCTGAGGATCGTTCCCGGAGCTCCCACAACAGGCGGGTCACTCCTCCCCCCAGCTGGGAGCCAGGCGGGCCCCAGCAGGCCCTCTGCCCTGCCCTTGGGGGTTGGCAGTAGCTGAGAAAGGCTGGAGGAGTGCCCAGCATGCAGCATAGGCTACAAGGGGCTCTGGGGCCTTGGAGACTCCTGGTGTCCCCTGAACTTGCCACCCAGGACCCAGCCAGCCCTGTCCGGCACTCCACAGAGCAGGAGGCCCAGCCCCGGGGCATCAGTTCACCTCCTCCCACAGCACCACGCAGAGGTGACAGCTGGCCTTTTACAGACACGGGAACTGAGTCACAGAGACACTAGGAAACACAGATGAAAAGCAGGAGGACGGCTGAGTTGGACCCAGAGTCCACTGTCTCGCTGGTGTACAGCTGTGGCTCACGCCTGCCCTCGCTGCGTGCTGTGTCTCCTGGGTGGAGGGCAGCACAAGGCCCACGCCGTGGGGTCCTGCCCTGGTCCCACCCCACCTGCTTTCTTAGCTGGACCCCTGCCGTACTTGGAGTGATCAGCACTCAGGTCTTCATAGAATTGTATTGAGTTTTCACACGAGAGTCTCCGTTTCCCCTTCTGTAGAGGTACACAGATATATACATGGACAGACAGAAACAGACGAGCCAGGCAGAGATCTGTACAGGATGGGCTCCCTGTCTGTCCGTCCTGCCGAGGTGGGCGGGGGGTGAGGAGGGACACAGAATCCCCGAAGGGGCTGGAGGGAGGTAGGTGGACACAGCGGACATGAGCCCACCTGGCTTCACAGGCCGTGTGTGCTCAGAGTTCTTTGTTAAAGGAGAAGGAGGGATCGGGGGGCCCACAGGACCCACCCTGGAAGGAGCAGTCAGCCCCACAGGGTATCACAGGCTAGGGACCTGCGTCTGCACCTCTGACTGCAGGGTTTCCTGAGCCGGGAGCGCTGGCAGCTGCCCCAAAGCCCCTGCCCCTGGGCCCAGCGGTGACTTGAGTCAGCAGAGGCCCCTGCATTCAGCTGGGCCTGGAGACCTGAGTGTGGTGCGGCAGCTGGAGCCTGAGCACCAGTAGGACAGGGGCGTGAGGGCGTGCAAGCAGGCGCCTTCTCGGCTGAGGGGGACAGGCCGGGGTGGGCGCCGAGAGCTGCTCTGCAGCTGCGTCCACACAGTGCTGTGTTCTCACCGCACGTGGGTGCCCACCGCGTGCCCGCTCCTCCCAGAACACACCACGCAGACCCGTCCCTTTGGCTGGAGGACTAAGACAGGCCTTCTGTTCTGGAGAGACTCTTAAAAAGTGCAGGTGGGCCACTGTGGAGCCACTGTGGTGGTTGATCCTGCTGATGTGGAGCCCTTGGAGAACCTGCTCACAGACAGAGACCCTCCCTTTATAAAGATCTGCACATGTGCAGAACTTTGTATGCGTTTCAGGGTGTTCACAGTTTAGGAAATAGGGCCACAGGCTCCAAATTTATAGCAAGACTGGATATTTTCTAAGCCCTGGATTTCAGGGGCAAGGGTGTTGCTCACCAGCTAGCAGCTGGGCATTGGCTTCTCCCTTCCCCTGCCATATGTCCCATCACTAGTCCCTCTTGTGTCCAAGGGTAAGGCAAGACCTTCTGCAGGATTGAAATGGGGTCAGCAGAGAAGGAGGGGCCTTGAACTCCTGAGGCAAGAGGGAAGAGGTGTTGGGTCCTGTGAGAGACTCACCAGCAGGCCTCTCAGGCTTCTAATAGCCCTTAAGTTTGGGCTGGCAGGACACACCCAGTATGGACTCACCCTCCAGCAGTGTTCAGGTCTGTCACACAAAAGGATGAGTGAGCCCTCGCTCCAGGTGCGCTGGCTTTCTGTCGAGGCGGTGTTCAAACCCTGAGAGCCTGTCCTTTGGTGAAGCTGAGGCAGCCAGAATTGGCAGAACCTGGTATGAGCGAAGAGGAGCTCTGCGAGAGGCCCTGCGGGTCTCAGCTGAATGCTGCTTCACCCGCCAGTGGCGCGAGACCTGGGCAACTGCCCGAGAACCTTCCAGGGAAAGAACAGCTACTGGGAGCTGTGTGCTGGGCACCCCTGGCCCACCCGGGACCGGCCGAGCCATTCCAGTCCTCGCAGCTGGGGCAGAGAGTCTGCTCTGAGTGTAGAGCCTGCCCAGTGCCTCAGAACAGCCGAGGCTTGAGGGTGCAGCTGGAATTGCCCCAACGCAATGTGAACGAACTTAAAGACAAGTCTGAAAGGATCAGGTTGATCCCTTCAGGCTTGCAGAACTGAGGGCACCCTTGAAAGGAGGACGACTGAACTCAGACACAGTGTAGTAACTTCCTCTTGTCTGGGATCCAGTTGAAACTAATAGATGGGCCACTTAGCAGGAGAATGTCACTTGTAGCAAAGAAGTTACAGTAACAGACCCAGGTGTGATGGAACTGACTAGCAGGAACGTTAAAACAGTTATTAAAATGCTCTGTATGCTCAAGAATGTAGAGTGAAAACCTTAAGACCAAGAAGTAGAAGGAAGGCCAAGGCCAAGACCAAGAAGGAAGGCGGATGAGCAGAGTGTCTCTGGAATAAGTGTCTGCTGCAGAAGAATTGCCGCCGGTTACCTCTGTGCTCACTCCCCCTTCACAGAGGTGACCCGCAACCCCGGCCTTCGTGGG